CCCTCGAGGAAACCCCAAGGCTCCCCGGCGGGGGCGGGGGGTCCCCTACGGTGACTGCCCAGGGTGACACCTGCCCAGCGGCGAATGCCTGCCGTGCATACCCGACGTCGACTCGACCTGCACAGAGCTTTAGACAGCAAAAAACAAACAAGCAGCTCCCACAGAATCTGAAAACTGCGGCTTCTAGAGCACAAGAGCTGGCAAGCACCAAAAGCCCACACGTGACTCAGGCCCGGCCTGCGCTTGGTCTCGTACCTCGACGACCCAAGGGGACCCTGCAGCCCCTGTGAAGCTCGACTGGCCGCATGCCGAGCCTTTTTAGCGGGAGAGGCCCCTTGCCGACGGTGCCTGGCCCAGCCGCTGGCCTTCCCGGGAAAGGCACCCACAGCCGGGGCACGCTGCGACCCAGTCCCTGGGGTGGGGGAAGGGACGCGGGTCACACACAGCACGTCACTGCCAGGCTCTCCCCACACACCCACCTGCTAGCCCTGACTCCAGCCCATGTTCAGGCAGGGAAACTGAGGCTTGGCCAGGTGGAGCTCCTCACCCAAGGCCCCAAAGACAGGGGGCGGGATGGGGATCTGGGCAGGGGACCTTTCCGCGGCATCCGGAGCCCAGCCTGCTCAAGCAGCCTCCTGGCCCGGCCTCTCGTGTGGGAGCCATTTCCTGGCGCAGAGACCTAGCGGGGTGCTAGAGCCCTGCAGGCCCCTGGGACAGATGGGCGCTGGGTGGGGACGCGGGGACGGCAGGCGGCTCCCCAGGTGAGGCAGCGAGACGGTGGCAGAGTCTCCCTTCACCGTGATGGCCGAGGCGCAGGGGCCCTGCTCCGTGAGCGGGTTCTAAGGGATGCCGTCGGCACCAGACAGTCTGGTCTGTCCCTCTCCGCCGGGTCACAACTCAACCGCCAGGGCCACAGTGGGCTCCCACCTTCCCCACCCGGCACCTACAAGGCCCCGGAAGGGGGGACTGAGCGCGCCCGGGAGAAGGCGGCCTCAGCACACACTGGACACACGTGGTCTCTCGGAGGTTGAGAAAGGCTGAGTCAGCACAAAGGGCAGAAAAGCACATTCCCCCATTTCCAAACTGCTGGACTTTATGTTTCCTTTTTCTTTTGGACAGTCTCACTCTGTTGCCTGGGCTAGAGTGAGTGCCATGGCGTCAGCCTAGCTCACAGCAACCTCCAACTCCTGGGCTCAAGTGATCCTCCCGCCTCAGCCTCCCGAGTAGCTGGGACTACAGGCGTGCGCCACCATGCCCGGCTAGTTTTTTATATGTATTTTTAGTTGACCAATTAATTCCTTTCTATTTTTTTAGTAGAGACAGGGTCTCGCTCTTGCTCAGGTTGGCTTCGAACTCCTGACCTCGAGCTATCCTCCCGCCTCGGCCTCCCAGAGTGCTAGGATGACAAGCGTGAGCCACCATGCCCGGCCTGGACTTTATGTTTTCTTAAAAAATTAAAAAAATACGGACGCCGGCTTGGCCATCTCCCATCTTAAGAAGCCAAGGAAGCAGGAGACGTGTCTCGTGTTTTCCCGACGACGTTCCTGAGCGGCTGCACCTGACACTCATCTGCCGGCCCCTCCTGCCAGTGGCGGGACGCCCGGGAGGCGGAAAGGGGCCGTGTGGGGCTGGGCTTCCGGTCCCGACCAGAGAACCAGGGCGAGCAGCAGCCTTCGTCTCCCCCAAAGGGCCAGACACCCCCTACACACACACACGTGCGACTTGCTAAAAGGCCGCCCCACCCCGGGCCCCGCGTTCTGCGCGGCTGGCGGCGTGCACACGGTTAGAAGTTAGCGGGGGTCACAGCCAGACGGCGCCGGAAGCGCAAACGCAGCCCGCGCGGTCTGTACCTACTACCCAGCGGCGCGCACAGCGCAGGGTTTTTCTGTTCAGCCATTGCTTCTAGGTAAAAGAGGCAAACGAGAGACACTCAGGCCACCACACCAGCACCCCAAGGTCGCTCACAGATCAGAACACCACACGTGCACCGACCGCTTTCCAGAACACTCCGAACCTCACAGCTGGGTTCCTGTCACTGCTGTCTACGCGGGTAGGGTGAGGCCTGGGCAGGAAGCAGGTCACCGGGTCTAGACCTGGCCCCGCAGCCGCCTCAGCGAATGACCTCGGGCACTCTCCGCGACCTCTCAGCCCGCTTTCCTCTCCCGGGAAACGGGCAGCGCCTGTCCTGTCTCTCACAGGTCTTGCTGGGGGCTGGTGGCGGAGGAGCTGAGCGAGCGCTTCCCGCGGGCCGTCAACGCTAACATGGCTTTGCAGACGGCACCGAGGCACCTCGCCAGCCACAGCGGGGTGACGGCGCAGGGGCCCAAGCCCAGAGCAAACCGTGACACGGCTCTACGAAAGGCCTCGCTTTGAGCCAGCTCCAGGGAGGGCCTCCAAACCCCGGCTGCCGAACGCTCCATGTTTAACCGGTGTTCTCTGTGTTCTAAGCCCACGGTGCACTAAAAACAGAAGCCAAGATGGGGTGGGCAGGCTGGTAGAGGGAGACACAAGGGGAGGGGACAGCTGAGGGAAAGTTCAACTGCAGACCCAGCTGGGCTCGGGTAAGCGGGGAGGCGGAGGTGACAGTCTCCATGAGACACTCAAAGTGAAGCTCTGCGCCTTTGAGCTGCTGAGTGGGATGGCTCCTCCGCAGGGCCCGCCAGACAGCACTGCCCTGCACGCGTGTGCATGCACACACGCACTCACACACGAACATGCACCTGTGCAGGAACGTGTGTATACAAGTGCTTGTGTGTGCATAAATGAGTGCATGCATGCACATGCATGCACGTGTGCTGCACAGGTGTGCACAAGCACTGAGAATGTATTGCATGCACATGTATGAGTATGCATGAAGAGTGTGGGGTACAAGTGTGCATGCATGGATCACATGCATGTGAATACATGCCCACGTGTGTATGCATGGATGAGCATGCACATATGTGTGCACGAGCACTGAGAATGTATATGCGTATACAGGTATATGTGTGCATAAGCATGCATGCATGGATCACATGCATGTGAATACGTACCCATGCATGTGTGCATGGATGAGCATGCACATATGTGTGCATAAGTGTGCATGTATGTATCGTGTGCATGTGAATATGTGCCCACGTGTGTATGCATGGCTGAGCATGCACATATGTACTTGTGTGCCAGCTGTGTGCATACAGCATGTGAATATGCATGTGATCATCTGTGTGCATGTAGGGATGTGTGGGCACACGTGTGTGTACATGTGTGTGCACGCATGCTTTTGCCCCTGTCTCTCAGACAGAATGGGCAGGCCCCATGCCATCCATCAGGAGACCGACAAGGGTGCCCTAAGAGCCACTGCCTCTCCAAGGTGCAGGTGGCCTCTCTCGGACAGAAGGGAATTCCTTTGTTGTTTGTTTTTCCTCCACTTTATGGTAAATGCCTTTGATGTGTGGCTTACAGAAACAATCTCTTGACCCCCCTGTTATCTGCTGACGGTTCACAATCTGCTCTAAATCTGCACGGCCCGATGGTCACACTTTTTTTCGTGACTCATCAGCAAGGAAGCCGACCTGAGCACTGCAGGCCGCTTCACTGTCCGCGCAAAAGGTGGCCAGGCCAGCTAACAGGACAGGAGAGGCAGTGGGGTTTTTTTGGATTTTTTTGTAGGGATGAGGTCTCACTCTGTCACCCAGGCTGGAGTGCAGTGGTATAATCATAGCTCACTGCAGCCTCCAACTCCTGGGCCCAAGCCATCCTCCTGCCTCAGCCTTCTGAGTCCCTGGGGCTATAGGCATGCACCACCACACCCAGCTAATGTTTTTCATGTTTTTAGAGACAGGGTCTCATTATGTTGCTCAGGCTGGTCTCGAACTCCTGGCCTCAAGTGGTCCTCTTGGCCCAGCCTCCCAAAATGCTGGGATTACAGGTGTGAGCCACCACACCTGGCCAGTGTTTTTAAAATAACTTCCCCACTGCTTGTCCCTGCTGACTGGTGGCCCACATGGAGGACTGAGGGTCACTGGCATTAATAACCATGAAGCTGGGTGCAAGGGGCCTGCTGCACCTGCTCAAGGACCTGCAACGATGATGGACCCATAAAGCTGGAAGGGGGCCACCCCTGTCTAGGGAAAGCCAGGTAACAGAAGGCACAACCATTGGGGCGTGTGGGTCTCCCGTGGCCACCTGCAACCCAGGGACAGTGCAGCTGAGATTTTGCCTGGAGACCAGAGAACAAAAGGGAAGTCCCAGGCTGGGCCTGGGCGAAACGGGCAACGCGGGGGCCGGGCACACAGACTGGAGAACTGCAGGGACTCCTCCTGCCACGTGAAGCAACAGCTTTCTGCCCAAGAATCTGGGACACGGGCCTGCCAGCCTATCTCTGGCACACGGGGGAAAACCCATGCATGAGTTAAAAGTCCGCAGAATGGTCAGGGGCACGCCCAACCCTCCCTCTAGAGCAGAGCCGAGGGCCGAGGCTGGGAGACCCGGCAGCACCGGCCAGTGGAGGCCAGGCAGGGCCTGCAGGGAGACCTTGCTCGGAACTGCGCCGAGAATCGGGGAGGCCTGCGCCATCCTGCCTCTTCCTGCACTGAACGCAGCCAGGGAGGACTCCGCGCCTTCCCAGCCCGAGTCCTTAGCCAGCCAGGGAGGGCTGGACCGAGCAGGCGGCCTCTCTCCAGGCTCTTCCGGAGTGCTGGGGGCAAAGGGAGGGGCCGGAGCGGCCACAGTACTTCCTGAGGGGCAGCCAGGGTGCCAGGGTGGCGCTGACATGCTTGGCCAGGGCCACAAGGAGGGCTCCAAGGCCTGGGCTTTCTAGACCCAGCACAGAGCCCGGAGCCGAGGGGCCCACGGGACGGGGGGAGGGCAGGCGGGCGGGGGCTGCCGGGGAGACCCTCTCGCTCGGCGTGTGGAACCCCAGGGCATCTGCTTCCGCCCTGGGCTGGGGACTGGGGGGCCCTGGGTCCCCCCGCTGTGCCGCAGCGGCGGGCGGCGGCAGTGAGAGAAGAAAGCGTACTGACCGCTGGGCGGCTTAGGCCGTGGAGGAGCGGGTTTCTTCGGAGGCAGAGCAGGAGTGTCCTGTTTACTTTTAAAGGGGTCATCTGAGAATCCTGCCCCTCCCAGGGAGGAGGTGAAAGGGCCAGAAGGTGGGGGCTGTAAGAGAGGACACGAAACAGAGGCAAAAACAGTCATTAAAATGAAGGCAACGGACGTCCACCGAGCACACGCTGGTGCCGAGGCCCCGGTGAGGCCGCCAACCCTCCAGGCCACGTGGCGCGGCCCTGCTCGGACCCGGGTCTCTTAGGAGGTCCCTGCTTTCCGCCACCCTCAGCAGCAGGGCCCCGTGGGCTGAGCTAAGTGACATGCAGTGGCCACGTGTCCCGGGCACCCCAGCTACACCTGCCACTACCTGCACAGGTGGGTGTCGGTGGTGCCGGGGTCTATCCTGACTGCACGCAGGGTCCCCTGGGCCTCCTGCTCATGATCCAGAGACGCACCTGCCCCCACCGGGGACCCTCCTCGGTGCTGGGCTCGACCTCCGTGCAACGCCACCTCCCGGCTGAGCAGGCCGGCGTGGTCACTGCCTCCGGTCAGTGACAGACAACGTTGGCACCAGACCCCTCCGGTCAGTGACAGGTGCTGGCACCAGACCCCGAGCCCCCACCCACATGCCGTGTCCCACGAGGACCCAGGTCACATGCCCGGCCCAGCCCCACCCCCACCGACTCTGACCGCCTCTGCCGCACCCCGGCAGCCTCCTCCGCCCCTGCACCTGCTCCCCCACACCTACCGCCTCAAGCCCAAACCGGATCGCGCCACCCCAGCTTTAGCAGTTCGACAGCTCGGGATGGCTACAGACAGCTGGGTGGGGGCACGGGGTGGACAAGAGGACGGGCCGACAACATGTAAGTGGACGAGCAGAGGAAGGACAGGCAGGTAGCAGGTCGATACGCAGAGACGACACCTAGGCAGGCAGGCGGCCCTGGACGGCCCACGCCTACAGGTGGCTCCGGGCTCTTTAAGCCACGCAGGGCCTTCATGGCTGCCCCCACTGCCTCATTCTCCAGCCTCATCCCCGAGGTCACCCCCATCCCCTCACGAGGATGACTCAGTCCCTGGACCCTCTTGGCCCCGGGCCCTGCTCCGCTCTCCGGAGCCGCCCCGGCAGGAAACGCGCACTCCGCGCTGATCGCCTCGCCTCATCTAGCCTGCGGCCTTGGCGGGGAGCCCTGCTGCCGGCACCTCTGCTTTACACACAGGGAAACTGAGGCACAGAAAGGGGACGTGGCCTGCCCGAATGGCACGGCAGGCTGGCGGCAGCCCCAGGGCTGGACCCCACAGCCTGCGCCTCCTAGGTCGGGGATCCTGGGTGCTGCCCCCGGCGGCGGGTGGCCGCCCCAAGGGCGAGTCTGGGGACACCTCCTGGGCAGACCGTCCCCGCCCCAGGCCTGTGGAGGGGACACCCACAGGCGCGGGCAAGAGACAGAGCTGGCTGGAGGGTCAGAGGGAGGGACACGGCGCCTGCACGGCCCAGACCCACGTCCCCACCAGGACCAGCTCGGCCGGCTAGGAAGCTCCCAGGGAGAGCTGGGCAGGGCCGTGGCAAGGCGGGCAGGGCCGTCCTCCACCACACTCTGCGGACAGTTGTCCCTTCAAGTGCAAAGGCCAGCGAGTCTCTCTTCAAAGCCTGTCACTCGAGTTTCTGGAACATTTGCCCATCTGGCTGCAGAGCCCGGTGGTCAGGGGCAAAGTCTAGAGCCCCGGCTGGGGCCAGAATCCCAGCCCTGCCCCCACCAGCACGGTCCACTCTGTGCCTCAGTTCCCTCATCTGTAAAACGACAAGGAGGACAGATCTTCGCTCTTAGGGCTGTGGCAACGAAACAAGGAGGGGACGCGTACCAAGCGTCTGTCCGCTGGCACCCAGACGTCAGCACGCAGATGGTGCCGTGATCGCCGCGCCTGGCACATGAGTGGACTCTCGGAGCTTCAGGACGGGCCGCTGAGGGTCTGTGCCTGGGAGGGGGCGGGCGGCGGGCAGAGGACACGGGCGGGGGGACGCTGGCCCGTCTGCCGGCGCTCCTGCTATTCATGGAAGGCGTCCCCAGGCCTACGGCACGGGTGGTTCTCCCCACGATTTTTTTTTTTTAAGAAATGGGGTCTCACTCTGTCTCCCAGGCTAGAGTGCAGTGGCGCTATCGTATCTCACTGCAGCCTCAAACTCCTGGGCTCAAGCGATCCTCCCGCCTCAGCCTCCTGACCAGCTGGGATTACAGATGCGCACACCACCACGCCCAGCTAATTAAAAAAAAATTTTTTTTTTTAAATGGGGTCTTGCTATGTTGACCAGGCTGGTCTCAAACTCCCAGCCTCAAGCAATTCTCCTGCATAAGTCTCCCAAAGTACTGGGATGACAGGTGTGAGCCACTGCACCTGCCTTCTCTGCACAACTTGAGCTGGGCGGACAGGAATGGAAACCACTTAGCAGAGAGGTGGCAGGACTAGGGCGAGGCCCCGCGTGGACCCCAGCCCTCATCCTGGTGCTCAGGGAAGGGGCATGGAGGGGACAACCTCTCTGTGGCTCTTCAGCTACCCTCGGCACACGCTGCCTTCTGGGCCATGTCTCTCCACTCAAATGGAGCCCTCGTCCCCGAGGGGTGCCTTTCCGTTCTCTGGGTTGTGCGGCAGGACCTGGGCTCTAAGGCCGCGCTCGGCCTGAAGTCCCCGAGTTGAGACCTGGTGATGTGCTCACACCCGAGCCGCCGCGTCCCCCAGGCCGCCTGGGGACGTTTCGGGCCCAGCAGGCTCGGCGCCTGCCGCGGCCACTTGAACCGAGGAGCCAATCAGCTCCTTGCGGAGGTCAGTCTAGGGTTCCAATCGTAGAGGCCTGGCACCCCTCCACGGCGAACACTGTCGCTCCTAACGCCAGAACGCCGGCGTCATTTCCGAATGCCGGCTTTCATGACTTCACATTTCCCAAGGCGGCTCCCTTGGGGACTCGAATCTTTCCTACGGCTCGGGCAGCAGTTCCAAGGAAAGTTGCTATTTTTAGAAAGGTTTCAGTAAAGCTGTCAGGGGCTCGGCAAGAGTGAACGAGCTTAAAATAAAAGACAGACAGAGAAGCTACTGTGAAAACCGGCTCTGAGAGACGCAGGTTTGGGTTCGCTGTTTAAAGAACCGGCTCAAAGACAACGGCTCTGACCTTTTCAGCAGCAGCCCTAAGTACAAACGCGCGGCCCTAAAGAGAGATTGGAAAGTTGCTAAAAACGGGCTGAAAACCAACCAAGTATTTCATAGATGGCTTTCTTTGGGGCAGGGGGTGTGAAATAAGTAAGTTAGACTCTTGGTTTTATTCTTGACTGTTCCCCAAATTGGCTTATTAAAGCAAGCTGGTGTCATTTAGGCCCAATACTATCTAGAAAAATCTCTCCAGGTGGGGGTGAAGGGACTGAGGACCCCCAACCAAGCGTGCAGGCTCCACGGCCCCCCTCAGGGTACCGCTGGACCCACACGGCTGCTGGTCACTGGCCCCAGCAAGCCCAGCGGAGGGGAAAAGTTGGTAGTGTTAAAAAAAAAAAAAAAAAAAGGCCAAAAAAACACCTTCTCATCACTTTACTTTCATTTCCTTCAGCGTTTTATTTATATACACGGTGTTGTTCTTGAAAACCAGAAAGGTGACCGGGAGGGAAAACAAGGCCGCGCTGCGCTTGGAGTCCAGCTGCCCGAGTGTCCCGGCAGCAGGAGCGAGCGGGACGGCGGAAACAAAACAACAGAGCACTGGAGACCAATTTTCCACGGCCCCGTCCAACTTGCTTTCCTGGCCCAGCGCCCCGAGCAGGAAGTGGGACTGGCTCTCGAATCACGGCCGCACGTGTGTGCGCAGCCTGATCTCGGGGCACGAGGCCGGGAGAGGGAGGTCACTCGCAGGGGGGGAAATGCAGCCCGGGTTAGGACGGGCAGGAAAGCGGGGAAGGGCCGGGCTCCAAAGTGTCTCGCTGCTCACTCAGGGAAGACCCTGCAGAAGTTCTGGGGAACTCGGGGTCTGTGGGACACGGCGCCGCGCTGGGGGTGGGGGTGCGGGGCGAGAGAGGGTGGCCTGGGCCTGCGGGGGCTGGGAGGGCCGTCACCGCCGTGGGTCACTGCTGCAGGCTGGCCACCGCCCCGGCCCCTGCAACACCCACGCCGCCTCCGCTCTGCCACCCGGACACGGGGTCCTCGCTCGTGCAGAGCGGCCCCTGGAGGTTCTCTTTCTTATCCTTGCCCTAGCTCCGGCCACCCCGGTGCCACGGCCCGGTGCAGGCAGTGAGGAGGATGAGGAGGGAGGCTGTGCAGCCCACCGCCTGCCGGGCCGCCTCCCGGGCCGCCTCAGCATGTGGCAGCCAGAGAAGGCGACGGGAGCCCTGCCTGTGGGGCTGCTGCCACCGTGCGGCAGAAGTGATGGCTTCAGCAGCCGGCTTCCCGCCGTGGTGTGTGGGCCAACAGCCGCTGGGGGGACCCCTGCTGCCCTCTGGCCCCCCAGACACAGTGCCACAGCTGCCCACGGGGACGCGGGCTGCTCCTCCGAGAGAGGAAGCAGACACTCTGCCCCGGCCCGCGAACAAGCTTCTCCGAAAACCTGGGCAGCGCCTCCAGTGTTTCTCGGAAGCCGCGTGCCACAATCAATCACACGCTGCCGCCGCTGCCAGCCACAGGCGCGGGGACTGGCGCCCTGCTGGCTGAGCAGCTCGGCACCAGCGAGGCGGGAACCCCAGGACGCCGGCACCTCGGGGCGCCCGGTGTGGGGGCTGGCAGCGGCTGGGGACCTCGCGCCTGGGGTGTCGCGGGGCTCCCTGCCGTCACCGCTTCGGGCTGACGACGGCGCCCACTGAGGACGGGCCCGGCTGCCCTGGGCCCCTTCACCACCCGGGACGGGGCCGTGCCCTGCTCGTGGCCGCCTCCCCCGGCACCTAGGCCTCAGCAGGCACTCGGCGACAGCCGGCAGGACGTGCGGGGAAGCGGGGCGCAGGCTGTGGCCCCCCAGGGCTCCCGAGAAGGGACACAGCAGACGCGGGGCCAGGACCGGGCACTGCTGGCAGTTGCGGCGGGGCTCGCCTGCTTCCCTTAACCGCCGTGGGAGAGACGCGCTCGCCAGGGCCGCGCGGCGTCGAGAGGAAGCCCGGGACCCGCGCCCCGGCTTTATTCCCGCTCGCCAAGGCGGCCGCTTTTGGCGTTCCGGCAGTTTCTTCTGGAGCTCACCTCTGAGACAGCGGGCTTCCACTGCCACGTCGGGATGGGCGCACCTCGGACTCTCTACGGACGGACGTCTCGGCGGGCACAGACCTGGCCCTGACCGCAGCGCCCGCCTCGCCCCCAGGATGCGCCCCAACACCACGCGGGCCACAGCCACGGCGGGCCACAGCCACGGCGGGCCACGCCATCGTGCGAAAGGCCGGACGCACACGCTGCCCAGCCCGGTAGCGGCCCTGGCTGGCGTCTGCCTAGACCAGTTCGCTTCTCCCCTGTCGATTTATTCACATCTGTTCCCGGGCCTGGCCCTCGTGTTTGAACACCCTCCTGAGCGCCGCGCCCGCCCGGGGGCTCTGCTCTCAACATCTCGTGAGCTCCTGCTCCGCCACGGTGGCGGCTTCGGCGCCTGCGACCTGAGGGCCGTCCGCCAGACGCCAGCAGGAGCGCGGAACCGGGCACGGACGGCCACCGGGAGGGTCCCGGGGCCACGGCCGTTTCGCCCAGAGGGAGGGCGGCGCGTGTGGTCGCAGCCAGGGGTGCTTGGCGGGCCCCGCGCTTGCTTACGGCCTCGCGTCTGAGAAGTGCCGGGGAAACACATACGTGACGCCAACAGTCACGCCTGGCAGCCCACACCACGACCTCGCATCTGACAGGTACCGGGGAAATACATACGTGACACCAACAGTCACGGCTGGCAGCCCACACCACAACCTCGCATCTGACAGGTACCGGGGAAATACATACGTGACGCCAACAGTCACGCCTGGCAGCCCACCACGACCTCGCATCTGACAGGTACCGGGGAAATACATTCGTGACGCCAACAGTCACGCCTGGCAGCCCACACCACAACCTCGCATCTGACAGGTACCGGGGAAATACATACGTGACACCAACAGTCACGGCTGGCAGTCCACAACGACCTCGCATCTACAGGTACCGAGGGAAATACATACGTGACCCAACAAGTCACGGCTCGCAGTCCCACAACACCTCCGCAACTCTGACAGGCTACCGCGAGGGAAATACAGTACTGACACCAACAGTCACGCCTGGGCAGCTCCACAACGACCCGCGTCGCTCTTGACAGCGACCCGGGAAATACCATACGTGACACCACAGTCACGCCTGGCAGCCCACAATGACTCGCATCTGACAGGTACCGGGGAAACACATACGTGACCCAACAGTCACGTTGGCAGCCCACACCACGACCTCCGCATCTACAGGTACGCGGAAATACATACGTGACGCCAACAGTCACCGCTGGCAGCCCACAAGGACCGTCATCTGCACAAGGTACTGGGGAACACAATACGTGGACGCCAACAGTCCACGCCTGCAGCCCACACCACGACCTCGCATCTGACAGGACCGGGAAATACATACGTGACGCAACAGTCACGCCTGGCACGCACCACCCAGACTCGCATCTGACAGGTACCGGGAACATCAATAGTGACCCAACAGCTCACGGCTGGCACCCACACACGACCTCGCATCTACAGGTACGCGGGGAAATACATACATGACACTACAGTCACGCTGGCAGCCACAAACGACCTCGCATCTACAGGTACCGGGGAAATACATACATGACACTAACAGTCACGGCTGGCAGCCCACAACGACCTCACATCTGACAAGTACCGGGGAAATACATACGTGACGCCAACAGTCACGCCTGGCAGCCCACACCACGACCTCGCATCTGACAGGTACCGGGGAAACACATACGTGACGCCAACAGTCACGCCTGGCAGCCCACACCACGCCTGCATCCTGACAGGTACGGGATAATACCATACACGTGACCCAAGCAGTCCACGGCTGGCAGCCCACAAGGACTCGCGATCAAAGTAACTGGGAAACAACATTACGTGACACCAACAGTCACGCCTGGCAGCCCACACCACGACCAGGGCACAGAGGCCGGCGCAGGCCGGCGCTCCGCGGGAGGCGCGTTACCTTGGACATCTGGCTGAAGTCGGCAAAGCCCTCGGCGCCGTTGAAGGACCCGCTTCCGAAGGGGTCTAAGGTTCCGAAGGGATCTGCAACGGCACCAGCAGGCGGAGTTACAGGCCTGGCACGGGGCAGGCCTTCGGGGTCAAGGGAAACGCGAACGGCTCCTGCATCAGGCGTCAGGGAGGCCGACTACACTGGCCAAAGATGCGCCCGGCGTGGTCCTCAACACGGCCTCCTGCCCGCCCACCGCCCACCCGCAGGGCTCCTGCATTTCCCACCGGGACGGCGGCTCTGGGAGGCCGGCATGGCCCGGTCATCGCAGGGGCAAAACGGTGAGGGGGGGGCAGGCTGCCGTCCCACCGGGGCAGGGTAAGAGCAGGAGGGGGGAGGGCAATGCAGGGGCGACCCACTGCCCACACTGTTTTTGTAGGGAAGTCGCCTGCGTGGTCGAGGTTTTTGCTGAACTCTCCCCGTTGGCCCTGGAGTGACTGGCGAGAGCAGCCGCCCCGCCCACCTGCGATACCCAACTCCGCTCACTGCCCGGCGGGGCCGGGGGGCCAGGAGGCCAGGCAGGGCCATTCAGGCGAGAAAGGAGGGGCTCCCGGGCGTGAGGTGGCTTTTGCACACAAGGACGCTGCACCCCGAGCCGGGAGCCTGGGTCGGACTGCGGGCTCTCTTGGGGGGAAATCCCAAAGACGCAAGCCCAAGGCCTGCACTGGACTACTAGTGCCAGACGTCCTTTCCGGACACACGCCACCGCTCGCCCAGGAAGCCGAGTGCGGGCGAGGGCACTGGCTTTGGCCAAGGGCCTCGTAGGCAAGGATCTGGGCCCCCGACTGTGAGGACGCCAAGGCCGCGCCTTGGGGCCTTGCGTGGGGGCGAAAGCGTGAGCACAGCCTGCCCTGGCACTGCCGGGGGACCGTCAGGGAGGAACACACGCCGCAGGTCTCACCTGATCCTTTCGAGGAGACGCTGGAGGAGGAGAAGGGGTCGCTGGATTCAAAGGGGTCGAGCTGGGGGAGGAGAGACGAGAGTGAGCGGCAGTCCGCTTGTTCCATCGCCCACTCGTGCAACCAGACTTTCCCGACGCCCACACCCGCCATGCCCGGTGCCGTGGGCAGGGTGAACCCATTTAAATGAAACCCACGAGGAGTAAAATGCCTCCTGCAATTAATACACCTGTAAACTCTGGACAAAATACAAAAAAAAAATTTAAAAGGCCGCTACCTAAAGGCTTGGGAAGTGAACCGAAGTAAGAAGACTTGGGGGGAGAATTGAAATTTGGCAGGAGAACGCAGCAGGAGGCTGAGTTTTGCATTTTGATGGTTGGAGCCCGAGGGCACCAGACAGCCCCAGTGTGGCCTGGGACGGCGCGGGGTGGCGGCTGAGGGTACAGCAGAAAACTCGCCGCCTCTGTGGCCTCAACGCCAGAGGACGGGCCCAGGGGCGACCACCGCCACGGGAAAGGGAGGGGTGGGTCAGACAGGAGCGGCAGAGAGCAGGAGCCCCGAACCCCTGGACACGCCTGCCTGCGTCTCGGGCTGCCCCGCATGTGCGCGGCTGCACTCAGGGGCCTGGGGCTACGGGAGCTCAACCGGGGTTTGCGCGTCTGCGGGCGGCGGGCGAGCGAGGGTCCGAGTGCGAGGCCCGCCAAGTCGCGCGCCTGCCGAAACAGAGCCAGCCTCGCTGGTCGCAGGAGCGTCACAGAACGCGGCCCCCGGACGGCATTCGGAATGTCCAGGATACGTTTACAAACCAGCCAACACACAGAGGACCAGAAAAACCGCGGCCAGCTCCCAGGGGAAAAGACAGTCAAGGGAGCCGGTTCCAGGACGGACGCAGATGCTGCAACTCTGGGACGAGGACAGCCCTAAAGCGGCGACCCTAACTGTGCTCGATGAGGAAAAGGAAAATACGCTTAAAGTGAATGACAGACAGGAGATCTTGGCAGAGAAACAGAAATCACACAGAAGAAACAAATAGGACTTGACAGGTGAAAAAGCACAATATCTAGAATTAAAACTTCACTTGGTTAAACGACCCGTAACAGAGGAAAGAGTAAGTGAAGTTGAAGACGCATCAGTAGAAATTACCTGATCTAAAGAAAAGGAATGAAAAGAAAAAGAGCCTCAGGAACCTGTGAGACAATAACAAAAGTTCTAACAAACAAGTAACTGGAATCCCAGAAGAGACACAAAATAGGAAAGGAAAAAAATATTTGAAGAGTTAATGGTTGAAAACTTACCAACCTTGGTGAAAAACGTAATTTATAGATGCAAGAAGCTCAGCAAAGCCTAAATAGCATAAATACAAAGAAAACCACATGTAGATATACCACAAACTAATAAAAACCACAGATAAAGAATCTTGGCCAGGCACGGTGGCTCACGCCTGTCATCCTAGCACTCTGGGAGGCCGAGGCGGGAGGATCGCTTGAGCCCAGGAGTTTGAGGTTGCTGTGAGCGAGGCTGACGCCACAGCATTCTACCCCAGGCAAAGAGTGAGACTCTAAAAAAAAAAAAAAAAAAAAAAATTAAAATCAAAATACACGAGGCAAAAATTTGACTGAAGTAAAGGGGAAACATAATTCCTCAATCATAGGGGAGGCTTTTAACACCCCTCTCTCAGCCACTGGTAGAGCTAAAAAGACACAGATAACCTGAACGCTATCAGCCAACTCCACCTAATTGCCATTTATAGAACATTATGCCCAGCAACTGCAGATATATATTCTTCTCGAGTGTATATGGTACGTTCGCCAATACAAACCATAGACAACAAGGCTTGACAAATTTAAAAGTATTGAATACATACAGAATATGTTCTCTCATAACAGATATAATTAAAAATCAATATTATAAGATACCTAGGGAAAAAAGCCAAATGTCTGCAAATAAAACACACCACCCTTTAAATGATCATGGGGAAACAGAAATCGCAGGGGAAATTAGAAAACATCTTAAAACTGAATGACGATGAAAACACAAAGTATCGAAATGTACGGACTACAGCTAAAGAAGAGCAGCAGGGAATCGGGCTGCTTTAAACGTACACATCGACTTACATTGGGGCTACATCCCCATAAAAACAGGGCAAATTCAAAATGCTGTAAGTTGGAAATGCGTTTGATGCCATGATAAAGCCATCGTAAAGCTGGAAAACCATAAGTCCAACCAATGTGAGTCCAGATGCTCCCTGACTTTTGATGGGGTGACTTCCCAATAAATCCACCGTGGCCAAAACACCCTAGGCTGAACCACTCACTATTCATTTAGGATCGTCTTTATATCAGAAAACAAAGGCTAACACCGATGGCAGAAGGCTGGATCGTAAAGAGTTAGAAGAGCAAAGCGAACCCAATGAGGAGGAGGAGGAGGAAGGAGTAACGACAGGGGAGAAGAAATCAGTGAAGTGGAACACAAACAGCAGGGAAAATTCACGAAGCCACGAAGCCAGGACGCGGTTCGCGGAAAGGACTGACAAAATCGAGAAACAGGTCACAATACCAGGAATAAAAGACAGGTTCTCGTTGAAGGCCTTAAAGACATCTTTTTTAAAACGCTGAAAAGACAACGTTGCAAACGAGTCCCTGCCTCCCCAGCCACCAAGCCAGCGGCGGCCTCGCTATGCGGGAGGGAGGCTGGCCCCGGACGCCAGCCCCCCCAAGAACAGACGGCACAGCTCACGCGGTGACAAGTCGGTGGGGAGCGAAAATGCAGGGAATGCAGGCCACGGAGAGGGGCCAGCTGCCAGGGGGTGCCGCCTTCGAGCACATGCATACACACACACACACCTACACACATACACCTACATGCATACACACATGCACACACACGGGCATACACACAGAGACACATGCACACACGTACACTTACATGCACACACGTGCACATATGCACACACACGCTCGCACATGCACACACACGCGTGTGCCGGCACTCGGCTCTCCCCAGCGACGTCCTGCCCCACTCACCTTGGCGGGCAGGGAAGGGTTTTTCGAGAAGGGGTCTGAGGTGAAAGGGTCGTTCTTCGTCTGTTTCTTGAAGAAGTCGTCGGTGGCGGAGCCTCGGAACGGGTCGCTTTCTTTGAAAGGGTCCCCCCCGAATGGATCTGGAAGGGGTTCGGGAAGGGAAGGGAGAACGCCCGTGAGTGAACAGTGTTGCGCTTAGTGACAGAACTCGGGCATTAAAGAACGCCTAACGGAAGAGTGCCACTTCCACGAAATTCTAGAAAAGGCAGAAACCCCAGCAACAAAAAGCAGGTCAGTGGTGGCGGAGGGTTCTGGGGGGGCTGGGAGGTGACGCCACAGGGGCACAAGGGAACGCACGGGGACGAGGGAACTGTTCTCTGACCGCACACGCCTGCTGAAACTCATCTCATCGTAGGCTTACAGTGGGCGGATTTTGTTGTGTTACTTATGCCTCTCGATAAAGCCGATTGTAAAACAATAAGCAACATGGGTCAACCCACAGAGACAGAAAGCAGCCTGGTGGCTATCGGGGCCGGGGGAGCGGAGTGACTGCCACAGGGGCCAGGGTCCCGTCCTTCAGGGAGGTGAGAAGGTCCTGGAACAGGCGTTTGCACAACCTGTGGATGCACTAGATGCCACCTGAACTGGACACTGTACAATGGTGAACTCTTTGCTATGTGAATTTCACCTCAAAAAAGAAAAAAAGAAAAACCAACAGGCGATGTGACCCAACACCAACTACGCCCACAGCTGCCCCCCTGGCACCCCGGAGCGGAGCGACTGGACCAGGAGCGGAGCGACTGGGCCAGGAGAGGGGCGACTGGACCAGAGCGGGGCAGCCATCGCCAGAGGGACCAAGACAGCACGCTTGTGCGCAACGCGGACGACCGTCCCTCCCCGTCTACACTGCTGCCAGCCCGGAGGTCTCGCCAGGCGCGAGTGCCGCACGGGACAACTAGACGCAGGTGACTCCATCGCGAGGGACCACGCTGCCGTGGTCACAACCCGACAACCACCTGGCTACCGAGTTCTGCCTGCCGTGGCCAGGCTCCCTCCAGAACGGACCTCCCTGCCCCGTGTCCTAGAGAGCCTGGAAGGGGAGGCTGGGAGGTGCCCGCCTCTGAACTAGGGCTCCCCTGAACTAGGGCTGGAACAGGCCGAGAGCCAGTCCAGGGGACAGTTAACGGAGGCCTTTACCTGCTGAGGCCGCCGTCTGCTGCTCTGCAAAGGGGTCGTTCTGGAAGGGGTCGCCTAGATTGGAGAGGAGGGAAACGCTTATCAGCTCTGCGGGGAGGAACGGCACCTGGCGGGTCACCTGGGTCACCTGGACGTGGCCACCCACCCGCTGGGCCTTTCACTGACTTCCACTCCCCACCCCCAATTTGGGGAGCCGGCATTACTTCCTTCTCTACCAGCCCCGCCCCGCCCCGTAACTTCAGCATATCAAAGCGGGAGGCCTGGAGGCGGCTGGGCTGTTCTTGGCTACAGCGTTCATGATGGCAGGGAAGGCGGCACTGGGAGCCAGAATTCACTTCTCTCTCCACGCCTAGTTTCCTTTATCTCACTGCCTGCCTGGTACCTGTCCCACACTTCACTGCCAGCCCACTTGAACTTGGAGAGCTGCCCGATTCATCTCTCAGACCTAAGATACTGCAGCCCAAATCTGACACCTGAAGGGAGCGCCCACTGCCCTCTCCCTGCCTCCGGGCTCTTCTCAGAAATGTACAGATAACCTTCTTGGAAATACTGTTTTGCTCTGAAAAACGGAGAGAGGTTAGGAAATCTTATTCCTAGAATTCTTCTTATTCTCGACTCGTGCGTGACTCTGCGTAAACCCCTCAGAGGGCGAAGGCCTCAGGCTTATCCGTGGTTTGCGAGCTACTTTCCTAATCGTTACTGGATCTGCCATGTCAGGCCTGCGAGGTGAGCAAGGAAGAGCTCGTGAGCCTGCCAAGGGACGAGGGGACTGAAGCAGTTCGGAGGCTAAGGGCCAACCAAGACGCCGTGAGCCTGTCGCTCTTCCCACCGCCCCCCGACGACGCTCTGCAGTTAACAGGCTGAGAGATCCAAGAGCTGATTAGGCTCCCAGAATTCCTGTCCTCCTCCAATTCAGACCATGGTGTTTCCTCGCTTGTCAAGCCATTCGGCAACTCCAAATGACATCAAATAAACAGGCTTTCGACAGGAAAGGGGGCAGCAAGCGAGATACCTTTGAAAGGGTCGGCTCCTTTGAACGGGTCCGACTTGAAGGGGTCCTCCGCCTGGAAAGGGTCCGGATGCAGTTCTTGTGCGTTGTTGCTAAATAACAAGGCTTTATTTTTGAAAGGGTCGTCCTATAATTATGTGAAGAAACAGGACAGGGATTTTATTATTTCGGATTTAAAGCAAAGTATAGAATTCCATATCTAACTTGCATTTGCACTATAAGTAGTATGACCGTAAGAATGATTAAAAACAAACAAAAAAAAATGGGCCGGGCGCAGAGGCTCACGCCTGTAGTCCTAATACTCTGGGAGGCCGAGGCAGGCGGATTGCTCAAGGTCAGGAGTTCGAAACCAGCCTGAGCAAGAGCGAGACCCCGTCTCTACTAAAAATAGAAAGAAATTAATTGGTCAACCAATATATATAGAAAAAATTAGCCGGGCATGGTGGTGCATGCCTGTAGTCCCAGCTACTCGGGAGGCTGAGGCAGGAGGATCGCTTGAGCCCAGGAGTTTGAGGTTGCTGTGAGCTAGGCTGACGCCACGGCACTCACTCTAGCCTGAGAAACAAAGCTAGACTCTGTCTCCAAAAAAAAAAAAAAAAAAAAAAAAGAATGAAGAAGTATGGCCTTTACTGGATAATAATGTTTGATGCAGGAGTATCAGTTATGACAAATGTACCATGTAAGACGTGAACTGGGAAAACCGGGTGTGGGGTGTACGGTAACTTTGCACCATCTCTGCAATTTTTCTATAACTGTTCAATAGAAAATAAAACGTTGGGCTCACGTCTGTAATACCAGCACTTTGGGAGGCCAAGGTGGGAGGACTGCTTGAGGCCAGGAGTTCGAGACCAGCCTGGGCAACATGGCAAGATCCCTGTCTCTACAAATAACAATAAAATAATCAGCCGGGCATGGTGGTGCATGCCTGCGGTCCCAGCTACTCGGGAGACTGAGGTGGGAGGATGGCTTGAGCCCAGGAGTTGCTGTGAGCTGTGATCAGGTCACTGCACTCCAGCCAGAGTGACAGAATGAGACTCTGTCTCAAAATTAGTTAATTAATTAGAAGTTAATTAAGAAAGCACTGAGTGGAAGCAACCCAAACGTCTGTCGATGGATGAATGGATAAATGAAATGTGGCCCATCCATACAACAGAATGCTATTCAGCCTTGAGAGAGAAGGAAAGTCTGGCACATGCTACGACGTGGATGAACCCTGAAGACACTATGCTACGCCAAGCAAACCGGTCACAGAAAGGCAGATGCTGTGTGATCCCACTCACGGGAGGTCCCCGGAGTGGTCAGAGTCACAGAGACAGAAAGCAGAACGGTGGTGCCAGGAGCCGGGGTGGGGAAGACATCTAAAAAAGTAATGCTTTAGGAATGCTACAAAGGGAACACGAACAGCCACTCAACAACTGCAGCGCAGGGCTCGTTCCAGAGCGCGGCTTCCACGCCGAGGAGCACGCTGGCTGTTTACGCCCTAGGAGGAAACGGCACTTATGCAGTTAGAGCTACTGGAGCATATACGACACTTTGCATTTTTTAAAAAAGGTGCTTGTTTCTAGAAATAGGCGTCTTGAAGCCAGAAGGAAAAAAAAAACACTGGCTTCTGAAGAGCACATTGTTGTAACGAAAACAATGTGTGTAAACCACACGGGAACGATGCACTCGGCTGAGGCTCGGCAGTGTGTTTTAGTTACTGAAGACACGCCCTCGCGGAAACGCGGACGTTTCACTGGGACAGTAAAAGAAGCCTAACGCCCGCACTGAATTTGGCAACTACGGCTGTCATCTTTGCGCGGGACCGGCAGGCCGATCCAGTACTCCAACCAACCAAAAACGAACGATTAAAACACAGAGGCTTCCGTGAAAGCACAGACAATGGTTTGGGGTGATGACATCAGAGGTCCAAGAGGAGGTTTCCGAACAGGGCGGCTGCCACCCTGGCACAGCCGACGCGGGGGCGCAGGGCGGCTCTCGGAGGTGCGAGGTTAAGAGGAGCCGCGGTCCGGGCTGTGAGCATGCGTGAGCCGGCGTGGGGGCCGCTTCCCCAGCCCTGGCTCCGGGAGACCGCGCCATCCTCCCTGCCCTCCGCTGAGCATGCGACGGTTTCTTACCTTGGGAGGATTAGCTGGAGCTGGTTCTTAGGCAAGCAAAGAGCAGCCGTCCGAGAGCCACGGTGCTCACGGCGGCGCGGCGCGCCTGGGACACACGGACACGGAAGAAGAAGTCCTGACCTAAAGGAGCCCGGGGGCCCGAGTGGGAAACACGCTTCTCACGCTGCACTGCGGGGCAAGGGATGTGTTTGCTCCAGAAGGAGGAACAGAGAGGGACCACGACCTGAACGAAGTGGCGAGCTGAGAACGACAGCTTGGCCTCGGAACGGAAGCGTCTGCTTAGTTTTCAAATTGCCATTTATTTACAAGTTGGGTTTTTCCTTTCTTTCTTTCAGCGCTTTCGATGCTCGGCTGGAAGGCTGCCAAAGGCGTGTAGGATGGCAGAGAAGAGAACGAGATTCTGGGAACTCTGGCTGCAAGAGCCCCGCACTGACCCGGGGCCCTAGCAATCTCCTCAGGAGGAATCCTCTGCCTGCGGCCACCACTGCTCCTTCACCTTCAAAGAGGAAGCCTAAGAAGACACAGGCAGCATTCCAGTGGTTAGGCAACCTAATGGTAGCTTTGATTCCAACTCAGTTTCAGAGTAGAAAACCAGACTTCCCTGCATGACAAAGATGCCATCAGGCAAGGGCGTGATAGCTAAGGCAGCAGGATCACTTGAGGCCAGCCTGGGCAGCACAGCAAGACCCCCTCTCTACAAAAAAATTTAAACGTTAGCCGGGCACGGTGGCGTGCACCTGTAGTCCCAGCTACTGGGGCGGCTGAGGCAGGAGGATCACTTGAGCCCAGGAATTCGAGGCTGCAGTGAGCTGTGATCGCATCACTGCACTCCAGCCTGGGAGACACAGCAAGAGATGCCACCAACGTCACCTCACCAAGGAGCACTGACCCATCTGCCAACTTGGGGGACGCAAGTGCACAGACAAGCCCTGGGATGAACGACACGTCTCCTCGCGGAGGTCAAATGTCTTGGTCGAGTTCAGCAACCAGTCTTAAGTGCTGCCCTTCTTAAGAAGCAGACGCGGCAGCTTCCCGGCCAGGACGCTGCAGCTCGGCCGCGGGCCGAGGCAGCTCGGGGCAGCGCCAGCTCCCTTCGGGCGCTGAGATGCCTAAGAAGGCCGGTGTGACGAACAAGGGTAAGAGCCAGAGCAAGGAACCGGAGAGACCACTTCCTGCCTGGGCTCCTGTGGCTGTTGACCCTAAAGGTTGTGTCACCACAGCCGCCCATGCCAAACCTGGCTCCAAACAAAACGCCCTAACAGGTCTGACGGCAGAGCCGTTAAGCGTGGCTACCGCGGCCGCTCCGTCGGAGGGGGAGGCTGGAGGGGGAGGCTGATGCCGAGCTCTGTCGGTATCTGTCCAAGGGCTCAGAACTCGGGAAGAGCGATGCGGTTTCGGATAAGGGTGGTAAATCTCGTGAGAAGGTGGCAAAACTTTTGGCCTCCACGCAACTCCAGAAGAGATCTTGGAGAAGTTAAAAAAGGAAGCCAAAAAGGAATAAAAGCAAGAAATGACAAGTGCATCATTAGGAAGCTTCCTTATTGCTCGTGATGAAGAGTCTGTTAAATAGGAAAACACATCTGAATGCACAGAAGAACATGGGAAAACATGCATATATTTAAGTAAGATGGAAAAAAGTAAGAACTTTTAAAGTACTGTACATTATTATATAGGTTCTAAAATCCCTGACCCCAAACAGCCTGGAACATGTTATTCTGATTTCCTGGCGTCACCGAATAACAGAGCTGGAAGGGTGTTCAAGGTGACCTGGCCTAACACCGTTCATCTGAGATGGGGCTTCTGACGTAAAGTTGAGAGACTGGTTCAAGGTCACACGGTGCAAGATGGCAACTGGAACCCAGACCCCTGGGCCCCTTGTCGAATGCAGTTAACCCCGACTGTAAATGAAAACGATGATATCTCCACACCAGCTCTGGAATTCTGGAGATTGCCCTCTAACCCAGTTTACAAATGACAGGGAAAAACCTGTCGTGCTGCTTCGTAGTCTTACCTTGTATTTTAAGATGTTTAAATGTAAACATGTTTTTCACATCTTTTAAAGACTATATGAACATTTTGTGAAAAAGTGAGAACAATCAAGACTTTTAATTTAACATGAATCACAACTGTTGAATTTTCTTCTTCCTCCATGATAACTTGCGATCATCAAATCAGTGGTTCTTACGAATCTCCAAAGATCCTTAAAAGGAGAAAGAGGACCTGGAAGCTATTTTCAGTATTTATAAAAGCCTATCAGAAATCACATTCATATGAAGGTTTCAAAAGCTAATAATAAATACATTTTTACATTAAAAAGAAAAGAAGAAGAAAAAGAAACAGACACGGCAACTCTGAAAGGGCACTGAAGAAGTTTCTAGATGCTCCTTCCCTGTGAATTTGGGTGGCTGACCCAGTGTAAGTGGTGCTGGGCAGGCATGTGCTGGAAAACCAGCTGAGAGGGAAAAGCCCTGATTTGGAGCTTCTGCCAGTTCCTGTGGTGTAAATGCTCCCACCGTGGTGGTTTCAGGTGACCTCAGCTTTAACCGCCAGCTCACGGGTCCCTATTTAACAGTCGGCTTTGGGGGGTCACTAAGGACTGGCTCTGGAATGCCACTGGGGCTGCGTGTGACAAGCGGCCCGACCCAACCTTTCTCGACAGGTTCCCGGTGAGATTTAAGTGTTAAGGTGGTTTATTACTAATATCCCTTCCCTCTACCCCAGGTTGGCTGGGGACTGAGCAAGAGGCCAAAATTCTCACAATCAGATGACAGATGGGGCATACACATGGCTTTAAGAACCCTGTGTCTCGTGGACAAAGTCTCAGCGTGTAAGCTTAACAACTTGGGTAAGCTGGGCAGACTCGCCCAGACACGGAAAGTTCCAGATGCAACACTTCGGTTATGCTTTTCTCAGGGACCTAAATTGCCCACCTTCACCCAGCAAAGAGAACTAAGAGAGCTCTCTCTCTGCCCTGGAGCTGTCCCAAAATGTTTAGGAGTAAATGGGAAAAAAAAAATTACCCTCTTCAAAGTGTTTATTAAGAAATAGAAACAAACCAAAAGAATGCTTTAAAAACTATATTTGTACAATAAGATAAAGATAGTTTTTCTTCCAGACACCGGTTTCCTATGTAACAGATCTGATGTCTACATTCCAAGAGCAACTGACTCATGTAAATTCTGCCCCACTTAAAAGACGATCAAAAGTAACAAGAGAGGTAAAAATCTGTGAGGGGGGGAGGGGCTCCACTGGCTGCTTGCAAATGGCCACTTCACTGCCAGCTTTTTCCCAGGGAAATCGACCTTTTAAAATCCTGCAAAAGGGGCCTTTAAGAGGGACCTGTTCCCTGACTTGAGAGCAAACGGGGCAAGCCGAGAGCCGAGCGAGGGGGGCAAGGCCAGGGCGGGAAAGTAAGAGCAGGGCTGCGAGGCGGAAACACGCACACCCAGAACGGGAGCAAAGCACGAGGTTCTGGCTTCATGGAATTCATGAAGGATGAACGTTTGCCGTGTAAATCCAGACGACGAAGCGGATGACAGGCCCAGCGGCAGGCGTGGAAGTCACCTGCTCACCAGTCCAAGAGAAAAGAGCCTTTGGAGAGGACAGGGGAGGCAACGCCCCCGGAGCGTGCGGGGCAAGGGACAGAGGGGCTGCCAACGGAGTCTTCTAAGCGACCCAGAGAGGCCTGCGCTTCCCGTATATGCCTGAAACCAAGTACCTGGCTACTCAGAAGAGAACCACGCCAAGAATGAACATAAAGAGGAGTCTGGTATTCAGAGAGAAGGAACCGTATTATTATGACAGGCAGGAAGAGGAATTCTGAGACGCCAAGAGGGCCAGGAGCCAGGGCTCCGGGAGAGCGAGTCGCAGAGCAAGGCGAGCTGTTAGAGGGGCAGAGCAGCACGGGACACCGAGGCCAGCCGCGGCCCGCCCACCTGTGCCCTCGACAGCCAAACGGAAACCGCCCGTGCCGGGGGCAGGGCTGCGATGGCGGGCTCTGCGGCAAGTGGGGGCTGCGACAATCAGAGGGGGAGGTCACACCCGCCTCAGCCCCCAGCGCTTGGCCCGATCACGCTCCCATGGCCAAGAGGTCTGAGATTGAGTGCCGAGGTTTTAAATGCAACCACCGTTTCAGAGGAGAGCCCGACTCGAAGCAGAACAGCAGCAATGCCCTGGACTGGCAGCTGCCTGCCACTTTTCTTGCCTTCAGCGAGACACCCGGTTTTCCAGGTGCTCCCTGTGGAAACCTACACACTCCTGCAGAACCCCCAGGGACCCCCAGGTTAGAGGAACATGGGGTTTCCGCAGTGAGCGAAGAGGCTGGCCCGGTCTCCTCTGCTGTGTCTGAGCAGCCCTGGGCATCCGGGCGGCTGGCCCGCCAGTGTGAAAGCCCCCAGGGGACGCGGGGCTTCAAGCACAGGCCTTGCAGAGGGTTGGGCCTATCCTGGGCGCGGCCGCTGCCCGGGCCCGCGCAGACACACACAGCAGCAGCAGAGACGGGGCCGGCCCGGGCTGGGATGGAGCCGAGGATGGCCGTGGGCAGGTCCAGCGGGCGGGGCACTCTCTTTTCACACCGGGACCGGATCCCGGGCGGCAATGCATTCATTCGACCTTTACCATGGCTCCAAAGCCGCCCCGCTCCGCCAGGGAGACGCCTTCGCCCAGGCCGGCCAGGTCCGTCAGGCTGGCGCCGTGGGCCCCGTCCAGCGCCTGGTCGTACTGCTCGAGGCTCCGCTGGGCGTCCTGGCGGCTCTCGTGCAGCTGGGAGAGCTTGCTCCTCGCCTGCGCGACAGAAGACACGGCCAGCGTCACGCGGGCTCAGGGAAGTGCGGCAGGCAGGGCGTTCCTGCTGACGCCAACCCCAGGCAGTCACGCGTGTCGGGAGGGGGCAGACCACCTTGTCCGCAGACAGAAGCGGGACCGCCACACGCCAAGGCCTGGCCTTGTCGCTACTCCAGGAGGTCTCCTTCCATCCCCCACCCGAGAGGGGCACACATTCCGACGAACGTTTGCTGATTCTCAACTAACGAAAAGTGGACAAAACCCAGATTCGCAGTCTGTTCAAAGTGATGTTCAACGGTCAGTTTCTTTTATGGGGTTTTTACTGTCCCCTTAGTTCCTCCCTGTCCCTGGAGAAGGCATGAGAAGGCAGGGGGAGGAGGACAGTCTGCGAAGTCAGACAGACCCGGGCGTGTACCTGAACTCTGTCTCACGCACGCTGTGTGACCCCAAGCTAGTATCTTAACCTCTCTGTTTCCTCTTCTCCAAAATGGAGCGCTAGCAATGATGGGAAAAACGCGTGCCGATGGTCCTCAACACACAACGGTCTGACTTATAATCTTTTCACTTTGTGAGGACACAAAAGTGACCTGCATTCGGTAGGAAGTCTACTCTGAACCTGGTCTTTTCGTGAGCTGACAACACAGGGTGGGCCCCTCTGTGGCGGTGCTGGGTGGCAGCAGTGAGCACACGTCAGCCGCGCAATCACGCGGGCGAACCCCGTCCCCGCTGCGTGCTGTGCGGCCAGCGGTCTTTAGACGCTGTGCTCTGTGTTTTCACATCCCAGCGTGTCCACGAAATGCCCATTTTCCAACTATGAGATCTGCCACCTGCGACAGGTGTGTCGGGGCATGACCTCCCCGTGGGCCGAGCAGCACCTGCACTGCGGGGCTGGCAGGTGGCCATCGCGCCAGCTCATTACCGTCACCATCACCTCACAAGGACTGTCGCCGTCACTGTCACACCTGCCTGTGTCTCTGCTCCCACCCAGACTCACAAGCTCTGGGGGCTGGGGCTCTGGCTCCACCCAGACTCACAAGCTCTGGGGGCTGGGGCTCTGGCTCCGCCCAGACTCACAAGCTCTGGGGGCTGGGGCTCTGCTCCCACCCAGACTCACAAGCTCTGGGGGCTGGGGCTCTGGCTCCACCCAGACTCACAAGCTCTGGGGGCTGGGGCTCTGGGCTCCACCCAGACTCACAAGCTCTGGGGGCTGGGGCTCTGGGCTCCACCCAGACTCACAAGCTCTGGGGGCTGGGGCTCTGCTCCCACCCAGACTCACAAGCTCTGGGGGCTGGGGCTCTGGCTCCACCCAGACTCACAAGCTCTGGGGGCTGGGGCTCTGCTCCCACCCAGACTCACAAGCTCTGGGGGCTGGGGCTCTGGCTCCGCCCAGACTCACAAGCTCTGGGGGCTGGGGCTCTGGGCTCCGAGCCTCCAGGCCGGCGCCACTGGGAAGAGACCCGACACAGACGGGCCGGCACAAAGGAAACTGGCAGCCACGGCGCAGACGCTCAAGGCTCGCTGGTCACAGGCACCGACGTGACCGCCCCGGCACCGCCCTCTGCTTGCAGAAGACGCCGGAAGACCCCCGGCTTCTGCTGCGCGCGGCAGGGACCCCACCCCCAGACACACACCTGGTTGATCTCGTCTTGCGTGGATTTCAGAGACTTGATGATGGTCTCCAGCTGCACCCTGCCGGCCTGGATGCTCTGCTCCAGCTGCGTCTCCTCCTGCTGCAGCCGGCTCAGCTCCGACTTGGCCCGGTTCAGGTCGTCTTCCTGGGACTTCAAGTCGGATTCCTGAGACTGGATCTGCGTTTTCAGTGAGGAGATCTGAAACGGGTTCGCGGCGCAGGATGAAGTGGGACCCCAAGAAAGAACCTAGTTCACGTCCTCGAACGAGCTGACCCAGGGAGGCAGACACCGAGCCCAAGCCCGGTGCCTGGCTTCCTTGTAAGGCCCCTTCCCACTCCTGAAGAGCAGACACAGAAGAAAAGGCGGACAGGCTCATGCCCGTGAGACGGATGGAAGGTCACTTTGGATCAGGAGGAATGTGACCAAGCATGAGCAACCTGCGTGTCCCCCAGGAGCTGCGTGAGCCCACACAGTTTGCTGAGGCTGCAGCCTCTCTGGTTTGTAACAAGCAGCAGAGACACTAGAGGATGGGGGACAGGCACCCTAGGGCCCCCCATATCGTGGGACACAGGCCACAGGGACCAAGGCCATCCGCTTACACAACTTGGTCTCTAGGAACACGGGTGGGTGACTTGGAGGTTGGGCCCAAGTGCTTGGGTGCTTTTCCACGTGACGTCTTAAACAACTCTACTAAACTGATAGGACGTCTTCGCCTTCCGCTTCCAGGAGCCCAGAGAGGCCCTCAGGAACCCCTCCTCGCCCCGTGCTCGGGGCACCGGCCCTGGGGAGGCGGCTGCGACTCACCATCTGGGTCTCGTCCTGGCACTTCTGCCTGACGTCGCTCAGCATGTCTCGGAGCTTGGCCTTCTGCTGGTCCATCTCGTCCAGGCGGTCCTGCGCGTCTTGTTTCTGAGCTTCGAGCTCTTGCAAACTGCTCGTTTCCCGGTCTAGATCGTTTTGCAATTCCTGGGGAAGAGGCACATCTGAGACGACGCGGTCACGGCCTGGGCGAGAGCCCCCAGAAGTCCTACGAGGCCACCGCAGGGCAGGCGCCACACCGCTGCCGATGCCGTCTCTCGGGCCAGGACCAGGCGCCAGCTTCTCGCCAGCCCCCTCCCTCCGCAGACGTTCACTGGTGGCCTAACAGGGGCGCGGCACCAAGAGGAGAGCCTGGGTCCCCGGTGACGTGCGGTCACGGCGGCAGAGGGGAAAGACAGCCCCCAAACGCAAACAGGCTGGCACTCGCGGCACCCAGGGACAGCACGGTACTTCCTGAAGGGCCCATGGGGAGACCAGAGCCACACCTCGTGGAAGAGAAGATGTCCCCGTGAGCACCATTCAGGGTGGACCCGACCGGCGAGCAGGCGCCAGCCAGGGGAAGAGCTAGCGGCACACAGAGAGCGGCACACAGAGCGCGGCCCCAGGGTGAGGGGGCGCGTCACGGCGCCACACCCCAGCCGCAGCAACGCGGAGCAGGGCTGAGGTGGCAGAGAGGCTGCACGTGTAGGCTACACCGGGCTCTTTCGCGGGGAGCCTGGAGGGACAGGCGCGTGTGGGGAGTGGGACATGGCGACTCTCCATCCCCAAGTTCCCTCCGACTCGGGGGACCCATCGAGGCGGTCAGCACGGGAACCCTTCGCCTCGACGGCTCCACTTCCAGGAAAGCGTCCTGGCGGCTCGTGGCGCGAGCGAAGGCGCACGCTGGGATGGGGTTGCGTGGGGGGCTGGCTGCCCGGGCCCCTCGCACCTGTGTGTGGTGTTGCACACGGCCCGCACACGCCCTGCGGGCCACTACGAGTCCATCTGGATTACTTACGGTGCCTAACGCTGCAAATGCTACATAAATAGTCGCCATGCTGTGTTGTTTTATTGATCTGCATTGTTATTTTTATTTTTACAGTGATTCTGACCTGCAGTTGGTCGAATCCGTGGCTATGGAGAGCCGACTGTCTCAATAAAAAAAAAAAAAAAAGGGCCGGGCGCTGTGGCTCACGCCTGTAATCCTAGCTCTTGGGAGGCCGAGGTGGGCGGATTGCTCAAGGTCAGGAGTTCAAAACCAGCCTGAGCAAGAGTGAGACCCCGTCTCTACTATAAATAGAAAGAAATTAATTGGCCAACTGATATATATATAAAAAATTAGCCGGGCATGGTGGCACATGCCTGTAGTCCCAGCTACTCGGGAGGCTGAGGCAGGAGGATCGCTTAAGCCCAGGAGTTTGAGGTTGCTGTGAGCTAGGCTGACGCCACGGCACTCACTCTAGCCTGGACAACAAAGCGAAACTCTGTCTCAAAAAAAAAAAAAAAAAAGAAAAGAAAAGCCGCTGTCTATGGTTATAGGCAACTTTATTATTATTATTTTTTAACTTTTTATTTTCTTTCACAAACATTTATCCCGTATAGTAGGTTCTGGGCCACTTTAAAAGATTCACTTGGAAGCCCCCAAGAGTTCACCATGCTTCTGTCCAGTGCAGACCTGGCCCCCCGGCCAGGCGCCGAGAGACGTTTCCCGCACTGCATCTGACACAGAGCCGAGGGGACCAGAACGAGCAGCGTCCTTACCTGCACCTCGTTGGTCTTCTGTCTGATTGCCTCTTCCTTTTCTCTAATGTCTTGTTCCAGCGAGTACTTCTCTCTGAATGTTGAAAAATATGCCATGAAAACACAGGGCGAGTAAGAACCCTCCACTCGGACTTCTCAAGACCCGACTGTTATCAGCCCCACAGAAACCCGCCCACGGCGACCCCTCTCTGTGGTGGCAGAGGGCTAAGAACGACGCCCGTGGCCACTTGCCCTGGGTGATCTCCCCTCCGACCGCAGGCAGGACCAGGGCCCCACCAGCCTGCCTCCCGGGTGCACGCCAGCTCCCCTCCCTCTCCTGCTGTGCACTGAATGTCTGCCCCCCGAATTCCTATCTTCAACCCTCACCCCGAGTGAGATGGGGTGAGGAGGCGGGGCCTTCGGGAGGGGTGAGGTCGGGAGGGTGGAGCCCTTGTGAACGGCCTCAGTGCCCTTATGAAAGGGACCCCAGGAGCCGCCCTGCTCCTCCCCAAGTGTGAGGACGCCGCAGAAGCCGGGCGTCTGCCTATCAGGAAACCGGCCCGTGCCGGGCACCAGGTCTGCAGGCACCCGGATCTTGGACTTCCGGCTTCCAGAACTACGAGAAACGTCTGCTCTTTAAGCTGCGCGGTCCGTGGTGGTCTGCTCCGGCAGCCTCGATGGACTAGGACACGCCAGTGCCCAAAGGGGCTGCCTCAGGGGCAGGACCGTCCTGTGTCCCACAAACCCTGCCTGGCGCCTGGGGACCCGGCACTGCACAGCAGTAAGGGCCTCTTTGGGACACGCAGCAGCTATGGTCATCAGAATGCCCGCTTCCACGAGCCTAGAAACCAACCCTGCGACGTCTTCCTTACGACGTCTCCGCGCGGCTGCCGCGGGCCCACACCCGCCGCCTCGCACCGCCGCGTTGCTCTTGCAGCGCCTTCAGCCAGTTTAGGGACACGGAAGAATCCGTGTCCCTTCCCCTTTGCTGAACAAACTTGGGATGATCAAATTTCCACTGCAGTCCCTGCCGTGTCCAGAAACTGCCCAGGAGGGCGCAGACTCGGAAGGGAAGGCGCCCTGCCCTGCCCCACGCACCTCTGCAGCTGCGCGATCTCCTGGCTGATGTCGTCCAGCTCCTTCACGCCGGTGAACTCCCCCGAGCCGAGGGCACTTGAGCCGTCCTGGAATCGGATTCGGACGTGAGGTTGCGGATCAGCAAACTGACGTCCCCCCGACAGGACAGCAAGCACCCCCAGGTCTCAGGCCCAGGGACGCAATTTTCTCTTTGGTTTACAGGTGGCGAAAGTGCCGCCGCCAGGCTGGGGAGCTCCCTGGGGGGCCGGGGCCACGCTCCCAGGGACCACGGGGAAGGCAGGGACCTCGCGGAGGCGCCTCCGGACTGTGGGGCTCGCGCGGGCCACCGGCGCCACCTGGTGGCGGGTGGCGGGGCAGGGACGCAGACGCGACAGGGCCGCAGGCTACTCACCGGGACGGGAGTGCCTCTCTCCGAGGGCGGCACCATGTCCGGCGAGAGGACTTGAGGAGGGTCGATGCCTTTACTGACCTTCTGCTGAATGAAATACATAGCTAACGCGAATTGGTCTTTGCTTAACTTCCCCGTTTGCCTCGTATCGGCCAGGGCCCTGGGAGAGACGTGGGACGCTAATTACACATCGAGGCCCGGATTCCAGTTGCGCAACCAACGCAAGCCACCCGGCCCCGGCTTTTGAAAAAATGACGACACAGACGATGGCAGGATGCGGCGGCAGGCCCCAACTCCTCTTCTACTTAGCACCCCGGCCCTGGAAAGCAGTCCTGGTCGCCCCAACTCCCAGCGCCCCCAACCCAAGGAGGGACATCAGGGTGCAGCAAGGGCGTGGGGGGAGGTCCTGGACTGACAGGAGAACCAAGTCCCCTCCCATGGGCCAAGGACACACCCCGGGAGACCTCGGCAGCCGCAGGGAGAGGGGGTTCGGCTTATCGCCTCCAGGACAGACCAGCCATCACGTGCAAACCGGACTACTCGGCCCGCTCCTGCGGCTCTAGGTTACCTGAATGGCCCAGGCCACTGGTTTTCAGCAGGGACAATGGCAGCAATTTGGGTTGTCATGACGACGAGGGAGGAAGCAACCAGCCTCTCTCGCCCTGTCATGCACTGAATGTTTGCGTCCCCCCAAACTCCTGTGTTAAAATCGTCACCCCCATGGGGTGATATCAGACGATGGGGACTTGGGAGGGGGTCCGGCCATGAGGGTGGAGACCCTTGCGTGGGGTCAGGGCCTTACAGAAGAGGCCCCGGAGAGCTCGCCCTGATCCTTCTGCCAGGGGCGGACACGGCAGGAAGGCAGCCCCCGCCAGTCCCCAATCTGCCGGCACCTCAACCTTCAACTTCTGACCTCCAGAACCAGAGAAACACATGGCTGAAGCCACCCTGTCACCGCAGCCTGGCAGACTAAGATTGTCCTCCTGTGCCCAAAAGGGGCTGCGGCAGGGGCCTGGCTGCACTACCCAGGACAGCCCCACAGCTCAGCAGCCCCTGCCCTCGCGGCTCTCTGATCTCTGGGGAGACGGCACAAGGCTGCCTGGGAACACAGCACACCCTGGGCCCGCAGATCGTGGGTAAGCAGCACCCCGATACTTGAGCTAGGCGGGGAGCCGGCCACAGAGCCGGGGAAGACTCCCGCAGTGAGGGCGTGGCCTCCGTCCTTCGAGAACCGTTCCCTTCACTCCCGCCGCCCTCCCGCCACGGGCTCTCCTCTCCTACCTCCCTGCAGCTGCCGCAGAAGCCACGGCACGGCTTTCTCCTTTGGAGCGAAGGAGAGCCCGTCAGGCCCCAAGGCTGGCCGTGAACAGACACGGGAATGACCAGATCACTCAGAATGTCACTGATAAAGACGTTTTTGGGGGCTTTGAGACGAGCTCTCACTCTGCTCCCAGCTGGAGCAGTGGCATCATCATAGCTCACTGTAACCTCAAACTCTCGGGCTCAGCGATCCTCCCGCCTCGGCCTCCCAAGTAGTTGGGACTACAAGTGCGTGCTATCATCATACCCTGCTAATTTTTTTATTTTTTATAGAGATGGGGTCTCGCTATGTTGCCCAGGCTGGTCTTGAACTCCTGGCCTCAAGCAATCCTACCTCAGCCTCCCAAAGAGCTGGGATTACAGACTTGAGCCACTGCGCCCAGTCAAGGCTGTGTCTAAAATGCTTGTTATCACCCACAGTTCTCGGCCAAAGGCGCGAGCGACAGCCTCACACGGCCACCATCTCTCCCCTCGGTGTGGCTGTGGACGGCCCATGGGCCGCTGAGGTCTCTCCTCGCTGGCCCTCCTCTGCCCCTGCCTCTCACAGAGCCTGGGCTCCGATGCTCACGTGCCGGGGTTTTCGAGAGAGGGAGGACCCTCGCTCTGCTGGCGTCCACCACGCCCGACACCACGCCGAACACCACACCGAATGGCAAGGCGTCGGCCGCCGTGGGGCAAAACTTGCACCTTCGTGTGCCCCTGCAATCCCTCTTGGGGCATTATCTCCACTCGCCACGCCACGCCCCTGCCACCTGCAGACAAATGCAGACTGTTGCTCTAACTCCTCGGGGTTATTTATGCTAGAGCTTGTTCCCTCCCTCTGCTCCCCAGAGGGGAATGGCTCCCGTGTTCCCTCTTTGGATCCAGGCAGACTTGAGACTTCTCGAGTCATTTATGTGCCATCGGATCACAGACAGACGCTGTCCCTTCACACGGCCTTCGATGCCCCACGGCACGATCTCAGAACCACACGTGCAAACTCTCCTCAAGGCTCCATTCTGGGGTCACAAAGGGGTCACTTGTTGCACTGGTCTCCGAAAGGGAACTCTAGATACAAAGGGGTCAAGAACTGCTGTCCCCAGCCAGCGGGGGCAGGTGGCTCTGCCACCACGGTGACAGCTCTGGGAGGCTGGCTCCTCAGACCAGGGCTGCCCCCTCACGCCGCGGAGCCCACGGTGTGGACAGCACCTGCAAACCGTCGCTGCCCCGAGCCACAAGTGGCATGCTGAACTTCACCGCCCCACTCGGAGGGGTCACCCGCCAAGAATTACACGGAAATTCCCTCCTGTCTGTAACTCCCGAGTGAGTCTCTAACGTCCCAGCGCTCTGTGGAGCAAGCTCAGCAGTGCCGTCACCACTGGCCAGTTACAGAAGGAACGGCTCCGCCCTGTGACGTCCGCTCCGTCTGGCCCCGGAGGGAAGCAGGGGGGAGGCTGGCTCGTGAGGTACAGACCAGGCCCCGCCCTGTGACGTCTGCTCTGTCTGGCCCCGGAGGGAAGCAGGGGGGAGGCTGGCTCGTGAGGTACAGACCAGGCCGCCCGCTGTTTACCGTCTGGCCAGAGCCGAGCCGCTGGCCCTAACAGAGCAGGGACCCTCGGGCCGGTGGCCACAACCCAGACTGCTCAGAGGACCCTGCTGGGGTCTTGGAGGCCCCGCTGCAGCTGTGGCGAAAGCCAGGCCTCCTGCAGAAACCGGTGTCAACCCCAGCAGCAAGAAGTGGGCCCTCGGGGCGAGCCGACGGCCCGGCAGGGCCCCTCCTGCTAGGAGACGGCGGCCCGGCCTGCACGGAGGACGAGGCTCGAGCCGTTACACTCGCACCTCGATGGACCCCGACAGCCCGGGGAGAGTAAACGAGGCCGGCACAGGCCAGGGAGGGGCCCTGCCCGCCACCCTCCTCACGTCCTCTCCCACACGTCCCCTGGAGCCGCCCACAGCCATGCCTGTCCTCACCAGATGTGTGCTAGAAGGTTCTGGGTGAGGCCCGAGTGCATGAAGATCTCCTTCACCTCCTGGCCGCTCACGTAGCCGTCCAGGTCCAGGTCTGTCTTGAGGAAGATCTCGTCGAACCGCAGCTTGTCTGCCGCCGGCACCACCCAGCTCGCTGCTGGCTGCAACGGATTTTAAAACACAGTTAATCTGCAAGCTTTTGTTTTTGAAACAGAGTCTCGTTCTGTCACCCGGGCTAGAGTGCCGTGGCATCAGCCTCACTCACAGCAACCTCCAACTCCTGGGTTTGAGCAATCCTCCTGCCTCAGCCTCCCGAGTAGCTGGGACTACAGGCATGCGCCACCATGCCCAGCTCATTTTTTCAATTTTTTTTCAGTTGTTTAGCTAATTAGAGGCCAGCACAGTGGCTCACTCCTGTAATCCTAGCACTCAGGAGGCCAAGGCTGGAGGATCGCTCGAGGTCAGGAGTTCAAGACCAGCCTGAGCAAGAACGAGACCCTATCTCTATTAAAAATAGAAAGAAACTGGCTGGACAACTAAAAATATAGAGAAAAAATTAGCCGGGCATGGCGGCGCATGCCTGTAGTCCCAGCTACTCGGGAGGCTGAGGCAGCAGGATCGCTCGAGCCCGGGACTTGGAGGTTGCTGTGAGCTAAGCTGACACCATGGCACTCTAGCCCAGGTGACAGAGTGAGGCTCTGTCAAAAAAAAAAAAATCTTTTTTGGTGCGTGGGATGTGGTCGTGGGGGGAACGGAGCTGCCACGTGTCTTCCTAACATGGCACGGACGCCTGCCTCGCTCACAGGACCAATCGTGTCGACACCCGGTTACTGAGCACCTCATAAGTACTAGAGATCGTTCCAGATGCTGAGGGTATAACCGAGGACTAACTGCTCTCAGGCAGCTGAGCAGTGTGGACGTGGACGATACGTAAGTCACCATGCCGCCGGCCGGGCCAGAACCGGCCGGGCCAGAACCGCCTGGAGGCCCGCGGCCGCGGCATAGCTGACAGGAGGAGCCCCAAGCGGGGAGCCAGCCGGTGTGTGGGGGTTGGGCTGACGTGCGAGTGAATAATGAAGGTCACTCGGAATCCCTGCAATTAATATTTTTTAAGGAGATTTGGTCACAAACTTGACCTTTCTTGGGCCACGCGTCAGGCGGTCCCGGGAGCGCCGAGCGCCGGGCCGCGTACCTGCGCCTGCTTGACGCTGTGCTTGGGGGACAAGCTGCCGGTGCTGTTGAGGCTGCTGACGCTGCCGTGCGACGGCGTGGAGCGCAGGCTGTCTTTCGGTGGGGGGCTGGCGGGCAGGACGGGGACGGCGCCGGGGAACACGGTCTTCTTCCTCTTGGAGGGCGGGATGAGGGACGGGGGCAGGACGGAGGGCACGGGCTCCTTCTCGAGGGCGCGGTACACCAAGTGCATGGCCTGCGGGCGCAAACGAGAACGCGTGGCGCTGAGGGGCGGAGGCGCGATAAGGCGGAGGGCGGCCCTTTCCGGGGCTGCGGTGACACAGCAGAGACCCTTGGGAGGCCGCCAAGCGACCAGAGGAAAAGTAAGTCTTTTCTGATGAGTTGTCTTCTGACGTGTAACTGTCCCAAGACACTTGTTTAAGTATCACATGACACTGAAATGAACACAAAAATAATTCAACCAAGCCAGATTCCGTGAGCGTCCCTTCACCGCTCAGGAGGGCCCCCAGCTCCGGGGCTGGCAACTCCCAAAGTGCTGGCGTTTGGAAGTCTAGAGACACCATGAGAGCTGCTAGTGCTTCAAGATACTCAGCGACTCAGGAGGCTGAGGCGGGAGGACCACGTGAGCCCTGGAGGTGGAGGCCAGCCTCAGCAACATAGCAAGACCTCATCTTCAACCAACCAACCAATCAATCAATCAATCAATCAATCAGACATTCAAGAGATACAGAAAATTCCACCTGGAGATGGGAAGCTCCCTGTCCCTGGCAGGAAAAACAGACTTGGTCTAAAACTAGGACCTCAAAGTCCATTTTAAAATCTAACAAACTCCAAAATCACAACCCTCCTCCCTTCGAAAGAGCCTTTTTTAACTTGCTATCTGCATAGAGAACAGATCAAAAACGTGGATAAAACTTATGGTCACTGCAAAACGACACGATGTTAAACCCAGCTAGTGACAAAAAGAAATGCAAAATGACACAATTCCAAGACCCACATGCAGACTGACACATTATCTTGACTGAAATGATGAGAAATGATCGACAGAAATCAAAGGGAACTCAGGGTGAGGCAGGTCACCCACTGCGGGGGTCCCTCCCGAAGGGCCAATCAAGTGTGATCAGAGGAAACATGGAAAACGCATGATGAGGGGCTGGGGTGGGGGGAGGCGATGGGAGCTGGTGTTTAATGGGGCAGAGATTCAGTTGGGCAAGGTGAGAAAGTTCTGGAGAGGACAGGGAGACGGCTGCACGGCGCTGCCAGTGTGCCTGGCGCCCCTGAGCTGCACACCTGGGAAGGGCGGAGACGGCGAGTTTTGCGTGCACCTTACCCCCGGATAACAAGTCAGTGACGGCAACCAGTGAAGATGACAGGATGACCGACTGCCTGGAAAGGCAGAACCGGGCTCGCCTGCGAGGGGAAGGGACACAACTGAGCGCTGCTGGGCGTGTGGGGTTAGCGAGGGGAACTGTGAGGGAGACGTGTCACGTTCTTGGACGACGGCTCAAATTTAGCCTAGACGTTTCAAACCGCAAAGCCTTTACGCACGCCTAGAGTAAGGTGATCATGAGCCCCCTCCATGCATACGTTCTAAATCACGCTTTAAAGGAGTTCAAAGTCCCTAGGACAGAGGATGCCTCTTGGTTACACCATTGCATTTCACGGTTTTTCTGCTACTTAGAAATTCCCAGGTAATTCACAGGTTGGTTGGACGTTTGTTTTTTGGTTTGTCCGAACTCAATTACTGATTGTTGAAGCGTCGTCCTTAACGACAAAGGGCTACTGTATTCTGCTCTGTCTGAGACCTAACAGAATGAGGTGAGTGGATAAATCCCATTACTGGCAGAGAAAGGCCAAAGATGGGAGGGAAGGAGGTGGAGGGAAAGGAGGGTGAGGAAGAGGAGGGGAGCCGCTGTCGCTGGAACGTCTGTGCCCCCAAAGCCCACGCTGACGCGTGGTCCCCAGGGCGACAGCATTAAGAGGTGGGGTGTGAAGGGAGGTGACCAGGCCATGCGGGCTCCACCCTCAGGGACGGGACTGGTGCCTACGAAAGGGCCTGAGGGGGTCCACCACTCCATTGCCTTCCTGCCACGTAAGGATGCTCGTCCCCTCTGGAGGATGCCGCCGCGAGAGGCGCCACCGTGGGGGCAGAGATGAAGCCCTCGCCAGACACCGAACCTGCTGGGGCCTCGACCCTGGACGTCCCTGCCTCCGGAACTCCTGTTGTTTGCAAACTGCCTGGGCTCAGGTGCTCTATTATGGCAGCAGGAATGGACCAAGACCAGTGTGGTGACCGGGCCCAGGGGGAGGAGGGCAGGCTCTGGGGAAGTCGGCCCAGCCCGCCCAGCTGCAGGGGTGCGAAGGCACTCGCAGGCCAGGAGAGCTCTGCCCTGCACACGACCCCCTGCTGCACCGGAAGAAAGAGGACAGGACACCTGGACCTGGACGCGGACAGGCGTCCACGCTGGACTATGGCCCCACACATGGCTACTGCCCAGCTCCGTCTGCAGAGTGTTCTAAACATGATTTAGAACATATGGCCCCACACGTGGCTACTGCCCAGCTGTCTGAGGAGTGGCAGGCAGCAGCCTCGAGCACACCCGGCGCCCGGAGCCCGGTCTCCAACCCCATGCCGCACTGACGGGACCCAGGGCTCCCTGGGGAGACAGCGGAAGGCAGGGCTGGGCCGGGAAACGCACAGGGGCGCCCGGGAGCTTCTCCTTGGGCCAAAGGTAAACACGTGCTCAGGTGGGAGGAACCAAAGGACCGAACGGGCCAGCTGGGAGGAGAGCTCAGCTGAGAGGTCACGCTCAGTCGTGTCAGAAGGATTATCAACGGTGGAACTGAGGATGCCGTGAAGCCACACTGATATAAATCAACTCACTACTGTAGGAGGCCAACTAATAACTGTGCAAGGAATGCTGGAATTGGAGCAGAACGTCCCCCTGTGGCAGCCACCAACATCACCGTGAACTTGGGGGAGACTCATCGGCAGCTGCTGGGACTGGCAGGAGGGTCTGGGAGCAACCAGGTATTTACATGCTCAAGGCGTCCCCCACAGCCACGGGCTGAGCACAGAGGGAGAGAGAGGCTGCAGGGAGAGACCCGGCAGCCTCCACCTTGACCCAGCGAGGAAGGTCAATGTGGCGGGAAGACACGTGGTGACATCACAGTCCCCCGGGGGCGAGGCCTCGAGGACAGGCATCACCTGCGTGGCGTTCCTGCCCCACAAGAGTGCACGACCTGGGTCACTACGAGGAAGTGGCAGCCCACCCCACACCTAGGGACACTCCACAACTGCTGGCCTGTGCGTGTGCAGACATCCACACCACGAAGGCAGCCTGAGGAGCCACTCGAGGTCAGAGAAAGTAAAAGTCACAGGACTAGGGGATGTCATCCTCTTTTGCCACAGGGACATTTGGGGACAACTGGTATAATCTGAATAATATCCTTAGATTAGATAACAAGTAACACAATCATAGACATACTAGTACAGAATACAAGATACACAGGAGATAATGAAAACATCCTAAGTGAGCTGACATCATGCTAATTTCCCGATTCTGAAATGGACAACAGTTATTTAAGGGAAGTTCTTGTTTTTACAAGAACTAAATACATGCTGAAGTATTTTGGGGTGAAGAGGTATCCTGTCTGCAACTTAACTCCAAAACGGTTCAAAGGAAAAATCTGAGAGAGAGAGAGAGAGGGAGGGAGAGGGAGAGAGAGAAAGCAAACGTGGAACACAGTGACACGGGGGAACTGGGGCGAAAGGCATCCAAATCTGAAATGCCTGGGACAAGAAGCGTTTCGGATTTCGGATTTTTCCGAACTTTTGAAGCTATGCGTGACACGCACTGGCTGAAGCCCCTAACCCGGAATCTGAATCCTCCAAGGAGCGTCCCTCCAAGTGCCGTGTCGGCGCATTTCAGAGGCCGGGCCTTCACACCGGGATACTCGGCCTGTGCCGCAACTTTTCTATGAACTTGGAATTGTGTCAAAACACACACTTTGAAGAAAACACGAAAGAAGACAAGCCAACGAATCCAGAAGCCCCGCGCGAGCTGCACCATGCCTCCCTCAGGGGCGGGGCCTACCACAGCAAACTCGTCCCGATCCAGGTGTCCGTCCTTGTCGATGTCGCTGAGGTCCCAGACCTGCCAGGGGAGACCGAGGCAGGTTATTAGGGCAGGAAAGGCCCACGTGGGAGCCAGCTGCAGTCACCAGAACTCAGATTCTGAGTCCGTGGTGCTTGCCGGGGTCCGGACAAGGCGATCACCGTGCACTTTAGAACTGGCCCATGGGTTCTCTGAGAAGCCACCACCTGCTGAAGCTCCGTCAAGCCCGGATCCACACACTGTCAGACGTCATGATCACAACCATGGCCAGAGCTACACATTAAACCGGCCTGATTTTTTTCTTTGATGTCTTACAAAGAGATCTTAGGTAGAAAAGATGGCTTTGATCTGGGCACGGGTGCTGCCCTGAACACAAGCCCTGCACGCTCGTTCCGCAAAGCCAGCCCCCACCCTGCCGTTCGGGGCGGGGCAGGGCTGCAGGCGCGGCTCTGAGGCACAGCTGCGGGTCTCAAACACGGCTCTGAACTGTGCGGGTCCACTTATACTTGAAATTTTTCAGCCAAACAAGAATCAAAAATACAGTATTTTGAGGGATACAAAGCCCCAGTATACAGATGGCAACTTTTCATGTGTGTAGGGCCGGCTTCAGGACTTGAGTATACACGGATTTTGGTATACGAGGGGGGTCCTGGAACCAATCCCCCAAGTATACCAAGGGATGACTACACTTATAGGAACAAAATCGAGTCTTTTTTTTTAAAAAAAGGGAATACACAAAATTTCTTAGACTTGCAGCAGAGTTGAAAGTACCTTTACCTTGAGCTTTATAGGAAGGGGAAAAAAAGCATTAACAACAGAAAAGAGCCAGGCATAGTGGCTCACACCTGTAATCCCAGCACTTTGGGAGGCTGAAGTAGGAGAATCACTGGAGTCCAGGAGTTCGAGACCAGCCTGAGCAAGAGCGAGACCCCATCTCTACAAAAACATTAGCCACGTGTGTTGGTGTGCGCCTGCAGTCCCAGCTACTCAAGAAGCCGAGGCAGGAGGATCGCTTGAGCCCAGGAGTTGGAGGTTGCAATGAGCTAAGATTACACCTGTGACTAAACAATGCACTCCAGCCTGGGCGACACAGTCAGACCCCATCTCGAAAATAAAAAAGAAAAGAAATAAAGAATACAGACACACACTCCTACACTCAGCACAATGGAAAAGGGGCGAGTCCAGAGCGGGGTCTTAAGGCTGAGCTCTGCTTGTCCCCGGGTCCTGGGCAGCAATTTCACTTCTGAGTCACCTCCCCATCCATGAAACGAAAGGACTCTAGCACCTTCCCCATGGGCTGGGGCAGCACCTGGGAGCCAAACCCGGGAAGCCCCGAGCCGGCCTAACTGTAGGGAGTGTCGCACGGGGGCTGTGAAGCCCCTGATGACACGGGGTTATGCACAGAGCAAGAACCATGTCAAGTGTCCTGGGGCAGAAAACAGTGCTGACCAAACACAGCAGCGGTGTAGAATGTGGAAGAACCAAACCCATGGCTCACTTACCCTGCCTAGGACATCAAGAGGTAGTTTCGAGTTCATGAGGACAGGCTTGACTTTGTCTCCAGAGAGCAAACCGTTAATGGGTAAGAGGCTTTCGAAAATCCCATCAAATTTTGCCTTTTCTTCCACCTGGTTGGAAAGAAAAGTCTGGGTGAGTATAAGAGCATACCTGTGTGAGTGTCCGAATCAAGCTCTGACCCAGAGCCAGGTGAAAACAGCCGGCCACCCACCATCGTCCGGGGCTAAGAGCACGAGACGGGCTTAGAACAGTCTCAGCTCCTCAGGCTGCCAGTGAACGCATGCCTTGAAAGAAACGGCTCTCCAGCAAGCTTGGGGCCAGGGGGCCAGGAGGGCCAGGCTGGTCCTGCTCTCTGCCTGAGCGGGCGGGGTCTCGGCAACTCCCGCCAACCCCGGAGGAGCTCACTAGTTCCGGAAGGAAGGAAGGAAGGAAGGAAGGAAGGAAGGAAAGAAGGAAGGAAAGAAGGAAGGAAAGAAGGAAGGAAAGAAGGAAGGTGGGTCCTCATGAACAGAAGGGAGACCTGGGAGCTTCACGATGCAGAGCGGCAGCTACCGCCACTCTGAAAGGTGAAACGCAGACAGCGTGTGGGAGGGGCCACCTGTGTGAAGGGCTGGGCAGCGGCTTCCAGTCCACCCTCCAACAGAAACAAGGCCCACGGAGAGCAGAACCGAGAGCGAGCGATAACGAGGTGTTATTCAGCCATAAAAGGGGAAGAAGTTCTGACGCACACTGCGGGCCTCGAGGACATGCCGCCAAGGGAAATAAGCTAGACTCCAAAAGCCAAGCACTGCAGAGCCCGCTCACACGAGGCTCCTAGATGAGGCAAATCCGCAGAGACAGGAAGTAGAGCGGTGGGGGCCGGGGCTGGGGGCCGGGGCCTTCGTGTTTAATGGGGACAGAGTTTCAGCTTGGGAAGGTAAGAAAGTTCTGGAGAGGGATGGTAGCAACTGTTGCACAACGTGAAGGTACTTGTCATTACTGAACCGTATGTACGCTTAGAAATGGTTAAGATGACAAAATTTATGTGCCGTGCATTTTGCCACAGTAAAACATTTAAAATTTTTAAAGAGAGGCTGGGTGCGGTGGCTCATGCCTATAATCCTAGAACTCTAGGAGGCTAAGGCAGGTGGATAGCTCAAGGTCAGGAGTTCGAGACCAGCCTGAGCAAGAGTAAGACCCTGTCTCTACTAAAAAAAAGGAAACAAATTGGCCAACTAAAAATAAAAATACATAGAAAAAATGAGCCGGGCATGCCTGTAGTCCCAGCTACTGGGGAGGCTGAGACAGGAGGATCACTTGAGCCCAGGAGTCGGAGGCTGCTATGAGCTAGGCTGACACCACGGCACTCTAGCCTGGGCAACAGAGTGAGACTCTGTCTTAAAAAAAAAAAAATTGTTTAAAAAGAGAGGGAAAAAAAAAAGATGGCACCCTCGATAACAGAAGCGAGAGCTCCCGAGGGCACTGCACGCTAGGGGCTGTTAAGCACTCAGAGGCCGAATGTTCCGGGCCTGCCTGGGGTCCTCCCTGCCCGTCGGGCTCCTGACCCAGTGCTCTGAGAGGCAGGGGAACGTTCACAGTGGAAACAAGCACTTGGCAGTCCGGGCTGGGTTTTTTCACAGTGTCCACAGATGGGACGTGAATCTCTCTTTAGAGCGGCCCACCCCGGTCACAGCACCTGGTCCCTGGCCCCGGCCCCTCCAGGGCGGCCTGAGCACAACTCCCGCTGGAAGAGGGACCAACGCTTCACGGAATGAGACCTCAGGGGTCCCATTTCCCACGACAAAGCGGCTCTCTTCCAAAGTCAGCACCGAGCTGCTGGGCGACCCACATGTCCTTCAGTGCTGTGACAGCTGCCCCGGCAAAGTGCCCCGCACGGAGGCGACTCCACAGCTCCGTGGTCACGTGAACGCTCCTCGTGCCCCAGCCTTGCCAAGAAGGGAACAAACCAACCGTGTGAGCACAGGACAAAGGTGCTTGGGGAGGGAGAAGGCTTGTCTTTACTTTACAGCAAGAGTGTTATGAATGTTAGCATTTAAACAGCACAAAAGAAAGAAGCCGTGACAATCCTCGGAAAGAGCAGGGATGGCGAGGGGGCCTCACATGTTATCTGTGGGGACGTCTCCACGCCCCCCCCCCCCCCCCACCCCGCCCCCTTCACGGGCCCGCCCCCCCCCCCCCCCCCCCCCCGCTCACTTCCTTCAGGAGGAATTCTGTGCTCACGAGAAGACAGCCCTCGTTTTTTTCCCTTTCTGGAAGCAAGAACGCATCTTTCTAGCCACAACATCCTCTGTCTTAAAAATAACACTTTAAGTGCTAAGAGAAGCTTTCCACACGGCGCCCAGAGCATCAGAAAGACTCCTAACACGTGGCTGGAAATAAGGGGAAAAGCAAGGAACACATGTGGGGGTCTGGGTGCTTGCAAGTTGTCACAATTTCCTTTTCTATTCTCCTCAACCAACGCAAGCAGCAAAAACCACAGAAAGTGACCTGAAAGTGCAAAGCTTAAACTGCAGGCTTTTAAGAACGCAACTCCTGTAACTTAGCTAGCTGTCTCAGTTGGCAATTCCCAATCACAGGGAAGGGCCAGGGCCTTTTCAAAAAAAAAAAAAAAAACGTTTCCCTTTGAAAATGTATTTCAGCCAAATTCTGCCTCGCGATTCACGCGCTGAGACAGAACAGGCGATGCAAGCGTCTGGATCACCCTATAAAGGTTCCTGAACGGCATCACGGATGACCAGGACGATGCCGCGGGAAGCCAAGGGGCTGTCCCTGTTCACTTACCCTCACGGCCCAGTGGGCCTCTGCGGAAGGCGGCGTGACCATCAGAGGGCTGCTCGTGTCGTGCTGAGGAGAGACAGAGAGAGAGAGACGTTTCTTTGTGGCTGGCACGGAATCGAATCGCAGGAGGACGGGTGTGCTGACAAGGACGCACATTTCAAAGTGCTCTCCAAGAGGGGAAACGCCTCAGAAAGTTACGCCCGGAATTATCACAGCCCTGCAGTTCCACTCCTGGTATGGACTCGACAGAATTAAAAACAGGTGTTCAAACAGATCCTTGTCCGTGAACACTCATGGCCAAAAGGTGGAAACGACTCAAATGTCACGGGTGGATGAATGGATAAGGCAGAGGTCCACCTGCACAATGGACGATCAGCCACAGAAAAGGCATGACACCTGCTACCACGTGGATGAACCTGGAAACATGACACGCCGGACACAAAAGGCCACACAGTGTACGATCCCGTTAACATGAAACGTCCAGAACAGGCAAATCGACACACAGAAACTATCTACACACAGAAATTAGATTAGTGGTGGCCAGGGCCTGGAGAGGAGGGATTCCATAAGGGGGTGGGGTCTCCTTTTGGGGTGATGGAAATGTCCCATAGCTACACAGAGGCGATGGTACATCCAAGTGATAGTTACACTGCACACGTACTAAATGTCATTTGAATTGTTCACTTTAAAACCGTTATTTTATACTGTGAATTTCACCTCAATAACAAAAACAGGGAAGGGGACACAAAACACCGAGACCGAGACACACACACACACACACACACACACACACTAGAAGATTGTGAATGTGAAGGATTTAGACACTCACGAACTTAGGCGGCGGCATGCTCAAGTTCAGATTGCTCAAGGTGACTTCGTGGCCGCTCTGTGCACAGGCCACCAGTCTCAGTGCAACATAGAAACCCTGCAAATCCAAAACAGCGTTTGCCTCGAGGTAAACATCACCAGGAGCGTGGGGGCGGGAAGGGAGCCGTCTCCAGCGGCGGCTTCAGGGCAAGAGGAGTTTCGCTTCAACTACGGAGACCGTGCAAAGCCGCTTGGAGAGTGGCGTGAGCGGGGCTCGCCCTAGGGAGGTCGTTTAAATGAATACGCTGACCTGGATTTATCCCACTGCATGTGGAACGCTGCAGTGTTTCAGATCAATGTATTTTTCCAAAAATAATGAACTTCCAACTATTAGGAAATGCTAGCACAGAGTTAGTATGTTTAAGGTGGCAAATGATGGACCAATTATGTGTTGACTTTTTTAAAAAGCAGTGAAATACACATAGTTGCCGGGGAATTTACATCTGAGGTTCCCATGACCCCCTGCTCCCTGCAGTAACCCTCCCCCCCTCCCACCCAGGGAGAGAGAACCTGAACGTGGCTGTCAGGTGCCTCCCCCTCCCCCCCACCCACCTCCTAACCCAGAACCCGCCGCCCCACAGGCTTAGTGGACTTTTGAGCTTTTTCTCAATGGATCGACTGGCCTAAGAACGTGGATGGTTTTAAGGATATGAACACAGGTACAGCTTTACAATTTTTTTCAAAGAGATACGTGCTAGGTTGGCCTTTCTCAGGCTGACGTCCACGGGAACGTCTGCAGAGTGTGGAGGCGGACACAGGCGTGTTGAGAAAAGGGGACGTGAGTAAGTTTAGGGGAACTGCCATGGGCAAAGATAACCGGTTTCTTTCTCCATAAGGATTCTGAGAACCTTTAACAGGCACACGTGCGTGACTGATCTCAAGGAAGGGAGGCACAGCTGAGCCCGCCTTCCCGGGGGACGGGACCACAGGCCGTGGCACCCCAGGGACAGCTCCCCTCGCGTGCAGTTTGGTGAAAGGCTGAACTCACTCGACTTACAACTAAGACCACTCAAACTCACTTGTCAGTACAGGCTAAACAGCCCTCAGCCAAAGAAACGCTTGAGACATTGGTGTTTCAGATTCTGGACTCCGGAATATCTGCACCATGACTACCGGATAACGGACATCCCTAACCTATAAAATCCCGAACGCTCCAGTGAGCATTTCCTTTGAGCATTATTCGGTGCTCGAAAAGTCTTGGATTTTGGAGCATCTGGGATTTCCAATTAGAGATGCTCAAATTGTCCTGTAAAATTCCATTTATAGAACTTTTTTTTTTTTTTTTCCTCTTTAAAAGACAGGGTCTCACTCTGCCACCCAGGCTGGAGTGCTGCTGTGGTACGATCAGGCTCACTGCAGCCTTGGGCTCCTGGGTTCAAGCAATCCTTCCACCACCTCGGCCTCCAGAGTAGCTGGGACTACAGGGTACATGGCACTGTGACCGGCTGTATAGAACACTCTTGAAAAAACAAAACTATCGTGGTGGAGAACAGACCGGTGCTTGCCAGGGATCAGGGTGTGACTACCGAGGGGCAGCACGAAGGAGATTTTTGGGGTGCTGGGAGGGTTCTGTATCTTGACTGGGGTGGTGGTTACGTGAACCTACGAAAATGATAAAATTTCATAGACCTATACACCCCCTTTTCCCCAAGAGTGCACATCAGCGCGGATTAAAGCCTTCCGTTCAGCGCTGCACCAGCGTCCATTTCCTGGCTGAGGTCACAGTGCTGTGGTTGCCTAAGACGCTGTCACGGGGCAGAGCTGGCAAAAAATACACGGGAATGCTCCAAACTATTTCTGCAACTTCCATCAGTCTGAAATTATTTCAAGATAAAAGTTTTGACGACACTTAAATCGTGGGTAAGGTCACAACACATTAAAAGATACGCTAACCATGAAAGATGGCTCCAAGACCTTTATTTCAAAATGAAAACTTCCCATTTTAAGTCTGATAGCTGCACTTCTGCCTAGTGATACTTGACGGCGGAGAAACGTGGAAGGAAGCGCGGAGGTCACCCAGCCCGGGGGGCTCTTACCCGGCCCCTCCACTGGCTCTGCGCATGCGGGTATATACCTGTTTGTCCAAGAACCCTTTACCTTCTGGGTCAGCCAAGTCCCATATCTGTGGAAACAAAAAATGCTCATGAGCGTGACTGCCGACCATGATTGCCCGTGTGTTAACAAAATCTGGAGTGGCCACCACAGCTACTGTGGGCCTTGCAGACTGACGGCCTTGGGGGCAGGAGCGACAGTCCCCAGGTTGCAGACGGAGAGGGCCACTTGGAGCAGGTGAACGGTCTGCCCTCAGGCACACCAGGTCCACTCGGCTCCAAAGCCACGTGGTGTCTACTACATCCTTGCACCCCTACATAAACCCACACGCCGTCAAGACCCCGAAAGCACACTCAGGTGTCTCATCTGCCAGCCAACCAGCGGTGACGGCTGCTGCCCAGGTGCGTTTACATCCACCTGTCATAGTCTTGAGTGGCTCACGGTGGCCAGGCCACAGCCTGGGAGGCACGGTCCCACACAGGGGGGTCTGCAAAGGCCGCCCTGGACCCGCCCGGCGGGAGATGCGAGGGCGGCCTCCCTTGAAGGGAAATCGCTCTTGGTCTTCACGTACCTTCCCCAGGATAACGTCTGAGAGGCCAGACTTCTTCAGAAACAGCGCGGCCTCGCCCGCCCCGACTCGCCCTGTGTACGCGGGGTCCACCTGGAACGGAGCGCAAGTGTTGAGAGGGGTCTGCAGCAGCAGTAAAGCAGCACCCGCTCGCCGGCTAGATTTGAAGAAAAGGACAGGCGGCCGCTTCAACTGGCCTTCAACTCAGCACTGTGCTTTCCGGTTTAACTGCTCCCTGGTTCCATCGAGAAAGACATCCGTTAAACTTACCTGCTTGTAGTAAGATTCGTATAACGGATTTCCGGTGGGAATCTGCAAACAAAAATCACAGGTACTGGTCAAAAGTGGATACATTCCCTCTGGGGGTTGGGGGGGAGTGCCAACCCCTCGATTTTGTCATTACCGAAATATACGACACTGAAAGTCAAAATTTCTGTGCTTGAAACGTCCTCCAGACGCTGAACCGTTTATCTTCAGACACAGACATGACACTTATTTGATTTAGGCGCAAGCAAACGCTAACGATCTTCCATAAATCCTAATTCCAGCTGCAGCAGTGGAGGCCCAGCGTCAATTTCCGGTAGTTTCTGTTCACTGAGCGACTGAGCGATGGGGTTTCAACTCGTCTGGGAGCTCACAGGGAAAAGATGCTCTGTGCTTTGAGACTGTTCTCTGGCTCCAGAATTAGGAGAGGAGTGTCCGCCTGTCGTCATGAGTCACCAGGCACTCAGCCTGCCCACTGGCTGTCCTGCCCTGGGTCCCATCCTCACCCTTCCTCCACCAGCTACCCCAGTGACTACGGGGAACACACCGACCGCTCCCGCGGAGAGAAAGCCGGCCCGCGACCGCTCCCACCAGGGTAGGCAGGAAGTTCAAAGTCCTCAGCTGGGCACTGATGACGTTCCCAGTTCCAGCCCCTCAAAGCGCCAAGACATCATCTTTCGGAGAAGGTAACTGCCTCACCTAAGGTCACGAGGCTAATCAAAGCCACCCCCACATCCAGCCTGGCGACCGGCCAAGGTCACACACTTCCCAAGGTGTCTACTGCCTTTCTTCCCGATCGCAAGGGGATGTCCCCCAGAGGGGAGGAAGGGCATGCCAGGGAGCGTGCCAACCCGACGAGGAGTTAAACAGCCACTAAAATGCTGGCTGTAAAGGCTTACGTGCTGGTGTTTCACTGAGTGAGGCGAAAAAAAGCAGCACACAAACCTGCTGTTGATTTAATCAGTGATCAAAAGTGAAGACTGCACAATTAGGCTTAATTATATGGAAGAACAGGCGTGTAAACAGCTAAAGAAAGCAAGGTGGAAAAACAGAGTATTGTCTGAGAAGCAGGAGTATAGTGCTTATTTAAATAGTCCCTGAATGCTGTCGCAGGATTTCTCAAAATGAATGAGACCCAGCGAGGCTGGTTCCCTCCGGTTATGATCGCTGGATGTGAACCAGCACGCACCCAACACTCGCACGCTGTTGTGCTGTGCTGGGTCATTTCAAGTTAAAAATAATGCCCGGATTACGGTCAGCTTCTCTGGGGGACGCCAACACCTGCAAACATATAAAGAACTGAAAGTACAAAGAAAAATACCAAGACAGAATGAAAATAGAAGGAAAACAGCTTAAGCGTCTGAAAGGGGAAAGAAGAAAGTCAAAACAAAAAGAAAAAGGGGAAAAGAAAGAAGGAAATATTGAAAAGGCAGAAAAAACTAGAACAATATGAAAAAGCAAGAAAAGCCAGAAGTTAAGAAACAATCATTTAAAGAAAAAAAAAAAAAAAGACAAAGACACCAAGGAAAAGAATTAAACTAGCTGGGCACAGTGGCTCAGGCCAATAGTGCCAGATACTCAGGAGGCTGAGGCAGGAGGATGACTTGAGGCCAGGAGTTCAAGTCCAGCCCGGGTAACACAGTGAGATCCCCTCTCAAAAATAAATAAATAAAAAGAATGAGGAGGTGAGTGCATAGCTACAGCAGCCCCTGCTCCCCTCAGCCCCAGGAGCCCCTGACTGATCAGTCCCTGGGGGAGTGTCCAGGGTCCAGGAAGGACTGGGAGTGGCCACCACCCTTAGTTTCTTATGACCTTATTACATGACAGTGCATAGCCATCACACCCTGTGTCGTCTTCTGGGTCTAAACTTCACTTTGCTTCTGAGACAGCTCCCCAGAGGAATAAGACAAACAGAAAAAGGGCAAAGTCAGGCAGGCTGGTTGTCACCTGTCAGTAAAGGTGACAGTGGCTGGATCCAGACAGCAGACAGCACATCACCGGCCGTCGGCTCACAGACCCCAGAAGCTCCCCACTTTGGATGACAACAGAGCCCTTTCCACCAACGACCAGAGAGGCACAGACATGAACTACATTTCCAGTGTTTGTTTTTTCTTTTAAAGATTTCACGATAAGCAAGAAAAAGAGGTTTCCAAGCCACTATCAATCCAGTGAAAAAAAGGGTTGTGGTGTTTGGGGCATGCAGGGTTATTAAATATCCGTCTCAAACTTCCCAAATGCTTCTGAGTGATGAGATCAACAACCAAGAGAAACAAGGCCCTGACTAGTCCAGAAAATCTGCTGAAGCACTTGACCCAAACCCCCAAGCTCCCACGGTCCATGCTAAGGGCTCGTTCATAGAGGCTGCTTGACATTCAATGGGCAGGGTGTGGTGGTGCGTGCCTGTAGTCCCAGCTACTCTGGAGGCTGAGGCAGGAGGATCACCACGCCCAGTCTAAAAAAAAATTTTAACAAAACCATAAAAGAAAATTTGATGGCCGGTTATCAATCCCAAAGACTACAGTTGATGGAAACCACAGCGCACGGCTCAAGCGCTCCTCTTTAACTATGGGAATCCATTTGGGTAACCTGGGAAAACGATAGCAGTTAGAGGTTTCGATTTAATGACATGTATTTCAGGTACTGCTAAAGCAGAAGGGGGAAGAAAGGAAGGAAAACACCAGACCCTAATGGCCACTTCCTCTTACCCCACTGCTTCTTCCTGGGACAGCAGAGTTACACCTGCAAGCCACCCGAATGTGCCACTGCGGCAGAGCTGAAGACACACACGGCTAACGCCATGGATCCCCAACCAGGGCAGTCTGTGTCGTCCGCCCCTGTGCAGCTCCCAAAAGGAAGCCTCAAGGTTGCCGGGAAAGAACCGTGTGTGTGTGAAGAACCGTGTGTGTGTTCACTCATGTCTGACCCCACAGTGAACCCAGGGCCAAGCCCAAGCAAAGGCAGAGAGGGGGCAGACCAGCCGGGAGGCCGGCAGTGCGACGACTGCAGGAATGGAAGGAAGCACGGAGGAGCCGACCCCAGGGTACAGACAAGACGCCATCTTCACCTCTGCCGTGTCTGAATTATTGACGAAGTTCAACAGCTTTCAGCTTGGTCTTTTATTAATAGTTGCTCTTCCTGTCTTAAAATACTGAGAGAGACAACATGCAGAGTTCCTCTGGCCTTTTCTCTTTACCCTCTAGCCCAGAAACAATTTACAAGTAAGTGGGATGACAGGAAGGGGGTCACGTGGCAGAGAACAATTTCACATCCTTCTGTGGCCAAGGCTTTAAAACCCCACAATTCCTGTGAGCACTTGTGATTTTAACCTGGGAGAAAACCAGTTGAGTTTTAGCTGCCTTAAAACACAGGAACCGGCCGGGCGCGGTGGCTCACGCCTGTAATCCTAGCTCTCTGGGAGGCCGAGGCGGGCGGATTGCTCGAGGTCAGGAGTTCGAAACCAGCCTGAGCAAGAGCGAGACCCCGTCTCTATAAAAAAATAAAAAAATAAAATAAAAAAAAAAAACACAGGAACACCACTTTGGAGGGAAACCCTCTGAGGATCGTGTTCTAACGACTCCTAACCCTCCCAGGACTGAGTCCGCCCAGCTGTGGTCCCCGCCTTCGGCCAAGGGCAGGGCGGGACCCCTCCGGGTCTCCGTGCTTGGCTGTCTCCAGCCAAACTCCTGCTCTGCCTACAAAGCGTTCTCATGCAGAACACAGCAATGACTGCCAGCCTTGTTTGTTTCAAAATGACACTTTTAAGCAAATTCATTTGCATTTTAAAACTTTCACAAAAGTACCTATAATCCCTGGTCCTGATATAAAAGTGAAGGCTGGCCGTTTTATATCCAGTGTCTCATGGAGTTGTCCCAACAACACTACAGCGCAAGTAATGGTGCTAGTCCCAGTCAATAGGTGGGGAAACTGAGGTTGCCTGCCTAGGGTCACACAGCCAGGCAGTGATGGGACCAGAGAAACACCCAGGCCAGGTGGCCCTAGAGTCAGACCCTAACCTGCTTCAAATCCTGCAGGGGTGGCCCAGGTGGGACAGAGCTGGGCGCTGGGATGTAGGACAGCCTCACATGCCCGCTCGCCTGAGAAAATGCACATCCATGATCACGTGATGCTGCGTCTTATTAAACAGAAGAGGCCAAAGGGCAAGACTCGATTTGAGCATATAAATCGACTGGAAGTCAGTGTTTTCAAGAGACTGCTACTCCCGCAGGAGAGTGGAGAGCCTACAATGGCTGTGCTTTTCAACGCTGCTGCCAAATTTTATAGGAAGTTAGGTACGTACACCAAAAGACATCCCCGTCTGAGTTCCTACTTAGAAAAACAAGCTAGTGCAAAAACGTAGCCTGGAGAAGTGCTCCCTTGATGGTCCCTGCACTTCTGCCTTCCCAGAGGAACGCCCCATATGGTTTGTACCATCACCACCTCGAGCATGCCCGGCCCTCCTGGCAGGCTGGCCCACAGTCTGCAGGTGACGAAACCTGGCTTGGTCACACAGCAAGGCAGGTGCATGGCAGAACTGGGGCTTGACTCACACTCAAAAGGCATCAGGAGGCTGGGTGCAGTGGCTCACACCTGTACTCCACTTTGGGAGGCTGAGGTGGGAGGATCACTTGAGGCCAGGAGTTTGATGTCAGCCTGCGTAACAGAGCAAGACCCCGTCTCTACAGAAAATTTAAAAATTAGCCGGGCATGGTGATAAGTGCCTGTAGTCCCAGCTACTCAGGAGGCTGAGATGAGAAGATTGATTGAGCCCAGGAGTTCAAAGATGCAGTGAGCTATGATCAGGCCACTGTGCTCCAGCCTGGGTGACAAAGAGAGACCCTCTCAAAAGAAAAAAAAAAGAAAGAAAGACAAGAAAAAGGCATCAGGAAAACACTGGGCCATGTCTAACTTCCCTGGCATGGACACCAACAGCTCTTTCCAACAGCCCGATCAGAGGTTTCTACGTCAGTGCTCCAGTAAATGTTGCTGAGGGAAGATGACTTGGGAAGTGAGAAAGAGCTTTTCTAAATCACTTTTGGAGGCCAAGGTGGGAAGATGGCTTGGGGCCAGGAAGTGGAGATCAGGCTGAGGAAGAGTAAGACCCCGTCTCTACAAAAAATAGAAAAATTAGCCAGGAGTGGTGGTTCATGCCTATAGTCCCACTGAGTTGGGAGGCTGGGACAGGAGGATTACTGGAGCCCAAGAATTTGAGGTTGCTGTGAACTATGATGACACCACAGCACTCTAGCCCGGGTGACAGAGCAAGACCCAGCCTCAAAAATATATAAATAAATAAATCACAGGAACAAAGACAGACTTCCCAATTAAAAACGAGCCAGGGATGGGAAAGGCGATACAAAAAGAAAAGAGGCAGCAAAGTTAGGGGGAACCGTTCCGCCTCCCCGGTAACTGAAGCGTTACAAAATAAAATTCGGTGCCAGGTTTTGCTATCAGTTTGGCAAAGGTGACCGAAGACAGATGCCGTGCAAGGTTGCCAGAGGTGGGAATGCAGGTCCTGGGCTCCGCTGGTGAGCACACACACCAGCCGGCCTTGCTGGAGGGCGAAGTAGCACTGAGAGTTCCAGTGTGTGCAACTCTTGTACGCAGGCTGAGCACGATTCCTACCGAACTCCAGCAAGGCTTTTTGCAAATACAGATACGATTATTCTGAAATTTATGCAGAAGGGCAGAGGCGCTAAAATAGCTAGAACCATTTTGAAAAAGAAGAATAAAGTGGAAGGAATGGGTCCACCTGATTTCAAGACTCGGTCTATAGCTAGAGGGACGAAGACAGCGCCGCGCTGGCAGACCGGCAGACGCCGGGAGCCGTGGAACAGGACGGGACGAGGGACCCTGAAACAGAGCCACACAAGGATGCCCGTCTGACTCTTTTCCTTCCTTTGAATAAACCTATGAAATCCCGTATGATTTTTCAACAAAGGTGCAAAAAGCACTTTGGGAGGAAAGACGGCCGTTTAACAAATGGTGCTGGGGCAACTGCCTCCACAGGAAGAAAATGAGCCCTGACTTGAGTCCTCCACCTCAACAAGAACTCACTCAAAATGCATCATGCACTTAAACACAAAACATGAAAAAATATGTTTAGGAAAAAACACAGGAGACAACCTGCAGGATCTAGGGCTAGACAGAGAGTTTTTAGACTTGATATCAAAAGCCCGATTCACAAAAGAAAGGCTGGCAAATTGCACGTCATCAGAGCCACAGATGTCCGCTCTGTGAAAGAGCTGGATGAGAAGATGAAAAGACAAGCACCAGACTAGCAGGAGACGTCTGCAAAGCACACACCCAACAAAGGGCTAGTGTCTAAAATACATGAAGAGCTCTCAAAACTCAAC